AGCCCTGGCCCCAGCTGTTGCATCTTTTAGGTGAAGAGCAGGAGCCCTTTGTGAGGGTGGGGATTGAGACAGGGTGGAGAGAGAAGACCCTCCTTGGGCTTGGTGACTTGCAGGCCTAGAGAAATGAGAAGAAGGTGATCTCCAAGGTTTCTGGCTCCAAGGACAGTGCTCCCTGGACAGCCAGAGCCAGGACCTACCGCCTGCTCAGTGTCCATGGAGATTTTGGAGACGGAATGGAACTCATATTTGTGGTTTGACTGGGGATTGTGTGTTGGCAAGGAACAGCTGTCACTCATACACCTAGAGATTCCTGGAGCCATCTGCTCCCAGGTACTGGGCCATGAGCAAGTGTTGTTGGTGCTGGACAGTCTGCACAGCAGGGGCAGTGGGCTGTGGTCTAGGTTCTCAGGGCCATGCACCCTCCCCCATGCAGAAATGGACTGAGAGAGGGCCTGGGCATAAGGGAGAGGCTCTGGTCCATTTGCCAAGACCCCTGTGTGAGAAGAAGAGCCTGATGGCTCCTCCTGAGGGGAAGAGAGGAGAGGTGTCTTGCAGGCAACAGCATTTCGCCCCTAGGGTGGGAATTTGACACTAATTTCCTTGCCATCTGTGCCAGCTCACCGCTGCCTGCCCAGCTCTGGTACCATGCTGTATTTTACCTGGGGACCCTGCTCCAGGCTTGTGAGGGTGGCATAGGAAGAGACACAAGCAAGGGAAGACATGGCTTTTCATGCTCAGCAGAAGTCAGCTCTGGGCTCAGCCAGCCTTCCCTGACCCACGTGAGTGGTGGAGGAGGCAGCTTGACCTTCTCTTGCCTATGCCTGGGGCTCAGTTCTTGCAGAAACGGGCACTGGAATGGGAGTTAGGCACACTGCTCTGTGGGCACTGGGCAGAGAAAGGTCAGAACGGTCAAAGTTAATCCCCGTCCAGCTGTCCCGCTCGCTGTTCGGAACTCCAGCGGCACAGCCCCCCATGCTACTTTGAGTGATGTGAGCGCTGCACCATTGCCCCTTCCCATGTCTGGTTCTGGCATGGAGCCTGCTTGGTGTCCCAGCCCCACTGCCCCGCTGGCTGCAGGCTCCAGGCAGTCACTTGGCCTTTCCATCTCTTAGCTCCCTCAAGACTGCAATGAGAATAACAATGCACCAATCACACAGCCTACTTCATAGGAATGTGCTAGACTGAAATGGACCCACAGCTATGAGCATGCAGCTGTGTGTCATTATCCCTTGCTGTATGAATAGTCCTGCCTAAAGCAATGTGCTAGGAGGACAGCATCCTTTATTTCACTCATGCAGTCATGGGTGAAGAGGTGGCTTTGTTCTCCGCGGCATCCGTTGGCTGGGGCTGGAGTCTCTTCCTGAGCCGGCTTGTCTTCATAACCCAGTAGCTGCTGCTGGCTCAGGTAAAGGACTGTGGCCTGGGCACCTGGATTCTGCTCCAGAATTCTTCACCTGCTGCTTCAGCTTCCTCCCAAAATGCAGAGCCCTGAGGTCCAAGAGGTTGAGGTGGGCGTATGTTTATGATCCCAGGAAACACAAGCTGCCCTTGCTCTGTCCCCTACTGGTCAAAGCTGTCAGAGACTCACCTGGTGCCAGGAGGAAGAGACTTGGGGGCAGCTGCGGTGCAGCAAGTGAGGTGGCTGCTTGCAGTGCTGGCCATTTCATGCTGCAGTGCTATTTTGCTTCTAATCCATCTTTTTGGGAATGTGCCTGGGAAGACAGCATGTGATTGCCCAAGACCTTGGGACCTTGCACCCGCATGGGGGACCTGCGACAAGCTCCAGGCTCCTTGTTGCAGACAAGCCAAACCCTTGCTGTTGTGGCAATTAGGAGAGTGAACCAGTGGATGAAAGATTTTTCTCTGTCTCTCCAACCCTTTCTATAATTCTGACTTTCAAGTAAAATGAAGACATCTTTTAAAATATTGTAAAAGGAAGAATTGACTCCAGTGAAATTAGAAATTTGGGGTAGAAAGATCTTTGGAGGGAGACACTGGGCACAGCAGGTGGGGTCACCCTTGGGCTGCCTCCATCCCATGCTGGAATGCTGACTCAAGACCCAGCAGCTCTGCTTCAGGGGTTGCCAGTTCTGGCATCCTCTTTGCTACTACCCCATTCATGGTTTTCTCAAAGCCATCATGCCCTTAGGAAAGACAATGTAACCACCTCTGTGAATGAATAAACAGTATCTCTTCCCAGAACCAGATACTATAAGTGGAAACAGATATGCTGAGAAATGAAACAGTGTAGGCACATTGTAACGAGCTCCTGTTACACCAAGCCTGTAAGCCCGCGGTCAGTCTGATAAGCCTGCATTTGGGGGTGCTTTAAACAGCTTAACACGAACCAAACTCTTTAGGTGCTACAAAGGATGCCTACATCCCATTCTACCTGGGTTCAGGCCCCAGCCTCCTGCTGAGCTAGAATCTAAATAGTGTAATAAAGCAAGAAGAAAAGGCATCTAGATTGCAACGGAAGTAGTGCTGTCTTTGTTCTTAGCATGATCATCTGTGGAGAAAAGCCAGTGAAATCTGCAAGTTACTACACCTCAGACTTGAATTTTAGCAAGGTTGCAGGATAGGTTACCAGTGTAGTGAAATCAATTGTATTTGTATACACTAGCAACAGACAATCGAAAATTGAAATGAAAAAGCAGCTCCACTTACAAATGGCATCAAAAAGTGTGAACTACTTAGTGTGAAATCTAATGATGTATGAGGCTTGTATAGTGAAAGCTACAATGCATTACTGAGAAATTGAAGGAGACTTAAACAGATACACCATCTTCCTGAATTTTGAAATCATTGGTTATCCCCATAGACTCAACAACACACCCTCACAACTAAGTCCCAGTGATTTTTTTGTTTGGGATATAAATTAATTGATTTATTCTAAATTCATATGGGAATGCAAAGGAGCTAACTAGCCAACATAACTTTAAAACAGGTGGACAACTTTGGAGGACAACTCTTACTTGATTTTTAGATCTGGAAAACCGTGTTTATCAAGATCTTCAGGTCCTCATGTCCAATCGTTATGATCTAGAGTTAGGGATTTCTTAGAGATGGTGTTCATCCATAGAGAAACCAATGGGTAAATTAAGCTCCATCCAAATGTTTGAAACTTGTGTTCCAAAGTGACTTTTGCAAAACTGTTGGAAGAATGAGGAGGGAAGCCACAAACTGCATGATAGACTTGTATTTCGAATAGAAGGATGCTCAGATTCAGGATGAGCAAAGAGCACAGTGAAGACATGGGTGAAATACTTGCAGAAATGTTTGGGAACTACACTAAGTGCTTTTTATTATTAGGACAATGAAAGTTGAAAGTGTGATATGACACCACCACCCCTGCCTTACAGAACACCGAGAAGTAGAAAGGCTGCTAGTGGAATGGTAAAAATGGCTCCATTGATTTTGGAAAACAGTTGGATGGTTTCCTAAAAAGTTGAAATTGTGATCAAGCCATTTCACCTCCGTGGATCTACCCCAAGAATGAGAGCAAACAGTCGCACAGAGGCCTGTGTGCTTGAGTGTTCCTGGCAGCTTCATTTGAAAGAGGCGAAAACTAGAAGCAGTGTTGAGTTGCATCAACAGAGTGGATGCTCTGTGGTCCACTATCCCAGTGGAATATTATGCACCCATGTAGCAGAAGGAGCTGCTGGCCTCTGATGCAACACAGACGATACCTTTCTGTTTTAAAGGTTTGTTTTATTTATTTGAAATGCTGAGTTAGAGAATCTTCCATCTGTTGGTTCACTCCTCTAAAGATTTCAAAGTCTGAGGCTAGACCACACTGAAGCCAGGAGTCTAGAACTCCATCCTGGTCTCCCCGTTGGAGACCCGTTGCCTTCCCAGGAACATTAGCAGCAGGGAGCTAGATTAGAAGTGAGACAGCCAAGAATCAAACCAGCTTCTGAAACGGGATGCTGGCCACTGGCTGAAACCCTTGTGGCACATTGGCAGGTCCGCGACAGACGAATTTCAAAGTTACTGTGCACTTTTGCATTAGAAAGACATTGTGCCAGCCAGCAGCACTGCTGGCTCCGCCCGTTTCCTGCCCTGTGCCCCTGTGCTTCCTGCCGACTGTGCAAACATCAGTATGTCCATACACTTGATTCTTCCTACAAGAACATTGCTTGGGGCTTGGAGGGGACACCAGATATTCTCCCATGATTCACCTCTTCCCAATAAGTGGCCAAGTGGAACCTCCTTTCTTGCTGCCCTCCTTTTCCGTGTGTGTCAGCAGAGCCCAGCTTTGTTCAGACAAATGCAGCTCCCATGAACTCCAGTGTTCTTATCAGCCCACGGTTTGGTGGTGGGGGATCCCCAGGGGTTCAGCCAGTGCTGTCTCTTAGTGTCTTGTTCTGTGGCCGTCTTCTTGGGGAGTCTGTCCCCCGTGTCACAGCAGGGGCCACGGGGTGTGGGGGCAGACAGCCGCTCCTTGCTGCAGGTCCAGGGTCAGTTCCAAGTGCAGTCCCCAGCAGCCTGCACCAATCCCTGTGCCTCAGGGAGGCTGGGCGAGGTCTTTGGTGGCTGAGCTGGGTCACCTGCCCCGGAGGCAGGAGTGGGGATTCTGCAAGTGTCGTTTTCAGTTTGTGGGTAAATAGCACAAGGCAGCAGTGTACAGAAAGGGCTCCCAGTTGGGGTGACATCACTACGCTGCCCCCCACGCCCCTTGTGGAAAACCCATTGTGTTGAAGTCCTCTTTTTGCCTCCTTGTGTATCTTTTTGTGAAAATAAGTAGATACATTTATGTTTTCTTGTTTCCTCCCCATTGCATAAAAGCTCACTGTGTATGTTCTTTGACAATTCTTTCTTTTCTTAATAAGAGCAGAAATTTTTTTTTTCCCCAACCAGCCATTCTAGCTCTTGCTGTGCTGAGTGTTGGCTTGCGTGTGAGTGTGACAGAGCCCCTGCCAGTGGTGTTTCTCCTTTGTGGTACAGCTGTCCTCTTTAACCCAGCAGTGAGTGACTCTCTGTCTCCTCTGGCAACACAGATGGGGGCAGCTATGCTGTCCATGACGCCCAGGTCCCCAGCCTGAACTCTGCGAGTGAGATGGCCCTCTCCAGTCCCATCGGACACAACTGGGAGATGAATTATCAAGAGGCAGCAATCTACCTCCAGGTGAGTGCCTCCTGTTTGGCACCTGTTTGCGACACCTGCTGCTGAGGGCCAGGAGGCATCCAGGTGCCCAGACCTTCAGTGTTGGCTTGTGCCCTGACGCCGACCCTGACCATGCCACACAGGGAGGGTGTTAAGCTGCAGCTTGACCTCTGACTGCTTCTGAGACTTGGTTCTGTGCTGGGAGTTTGTGCGCATGTGCGAAGGTGCACATCTGGCTTTCTCTACTATTGCATGCTTTTTGGGGTTGTTGAAAATATTTTTCTCTAAAAGATATACTTATTCATTACAGCACATTTAGGTGCAGAGAGGAAATGAAAAAAATTATTCACCCAAGACTGTCACTGTTAATACTTTTCCTTTCAGGTTAAAAAAAAAATTGTAAGACTACATTTGTTTTTTACTCAGTTTTTTTTTAAAGATTTATTTGAAAGCCAAATTTTTAAATATTCACTTCCCAAATGGCTGCAACAGCCAGAGCTGAGCTGATCCTGAGCTGGGAATGCTGGGAACGGGAGCTTCCTCCCAGCTTCCCACGTGGGTACAAGGGGCCCGAGACCTCGGACCATCCTCTGCTGCCTTCCCAGGCTGTATGCAGAGAGCTGGATTAGAAGTGGGACAGTCGGGATTAGAATCGACACCCATACACAAGGGGAGGATTAGCCTGCCACCATGTTAGCCCCTAATACTTTTCTAAAATAATTTTTACTTATTTTAAAAGATCTATTACTTACTTGAGAATCAGAGTTACAGAGAGAGAGGGACAGACAGAAACAGACCTTCTTTCCACCAGTTTACTTCCCAAGTGGCTGTAATGCCTGGAGCTGGGCCAGGTCAAAGCCAGGATCTTGAAACTCCATCCAGGCCTCCTACATGGGTGCAGGGGCCCAGAGATCTGGGCCGTGTTCTGCTGCTCTCCCAGCTGCATTCACAGGGAGCTGGGTTAGCAGGAAGTAAAGCACCCATATAGGGTGCCTGAGTGCCGCCCTCGAACAATTTTAGTCCTGTGGTCCCTGCGGTTGTACAGTCTGCTAGTTTTTGTGAGATGAGTGTAGGTTTGTTTTCACCATCATTTGAATGGCTATAAATCACAGTCTAACTCTCGTGGTGGCCACTTTCTCCTGTGTGAGTTGTACTGCGGGGACAGTCAGTGACCAGGTCTTCTCCTGCTCTCCGTAATATGTAGGAGCATTTTACTGGAAAGGAGCCGAGAAATGGAATTCTGGGGCAGAAGGAATCCACATTGGAAACTCTTTATTTTCATTTCACTTGGAAGCAAGAAGGAACAGAGGGACAGAGAGATCCCATCTGCTGGTTCGCTCCCCAAATGCCCACAGAAGCTGCGGCTGGGTTGAGCCAAAGCCGGGAACCTAGAGCTCAATGCAGGTCTCCCGTGTGGGTAGCAGGGACCCAAATACTGCAGCCATCTCCTGCCGCCTCCAGCGTCAGAGGTGCGGGGTGCCAGGACTCTACTCCAGGCATGTTGACCTGGACTCCGGGCATTCCAAGCTGCGGCTTAACCACCATGCCCAGTGCCCAAATGCCCACCCCAAACCACGCTGTCCTGTCAGCCTGCGGTTCCTGTGTGCTTCTTGTCAATGAGGCCAGAGCAGTGGACCAGCTGCAGGGGAATGGCCAGGAGCTCCCCCGCCTGCCTCAGCCACACCTGACTGTGTCCCCAGCAGCTGCAGGAAGGGCTTGCAGGCTGTCCATGGGCTCGGCCATTCTCCCCAACCAGGAACAGGGGTGGCTGGGAGCACTCTCTTTCTTTGGGTCTTCTTCAGCATGGTGCTGTTGACACTGGATGGTGTCATCGGAATGTACCTCCAAGGTGCCAGGGTACCCCATGTCCCCCTGTCATGACAACCAAGAATGTCCCCAGACACAAGGGCAAGGCCCTGCTGGTAACCAGTGCTCATTGCCAGGAGATGAGGGGCCAAGCTGGTAGGGGGGTGAGTTCTTGCTGCTCTTCATGCCCACGCATTCCACGGAGCATCAGAGACCTGGCTGGCCTCTCCCTGGGTGCCATCTGCTGATCCACAGGGAGGCTTTCCTGGGGTGGGCCAGTGTCGGTCATTTCTCTCTCCCTCTCTTTTTGTTAAGGTTTATTAATGTTTTGGAAAGTTAGAAATGTTCCATTTGCTAGTTCATTTTCCCAAATGGCTGCAACAGCCAGAGCTGTGCTGGTCAGGTGCCAGGAGCTTCTTCCAAGTCTCCCACATGGATGCAAGAGCCTCTGCTACTCTCCCAGGCGCATTAGCAGGGGGCTGAATGGAAAGCAGAACAGCTGGGCCTTTAACTGGTGCCCATATGGGATGCCGGCACTTCAGGCAAAGGCTTTACCCTTTATGCCATAGCACAGACCTCATGTTGGTCGTTCTCTATAGAATGGGCAGGAGACTGAGCCTGTTTCTGAGGGTGGGGCAGGGAGCCTGGCTGCCCGGCCCTGACGCAGACTGCACCCGCACCTCCCAGTGGTTGACTCTCTCCACTGTTTATTGGGTAGACAATACAAGGCCCTGCCTGACGGGGAAGTTGTTAAGCATAAATAGATGTCAGGGCTCAGGTGAAGGCCCGGCCTGGGTGACAGTCAGGGTCAGCTGCTGCGTTTATTACGGTCAGGCTGCGAGAGCCAAGGGCAGAGCCTGTCTTTATGCAGCGGGTAGGAAATGAGAGAGAAGTCGCAGGATACACTCTGCAGGGCTGACTGGGCGTGAGCTGTCACCTCAACCCATCAGAGACAGAGGAGGAGAGAGGATTGGGAAGGGGAGAGGATTGGGGTGCTGCCGTGAAGATGCTCCTTGGGGTGCCTGTAATCCCATCTCAAAGTGTCTGGTTTCTGATCCAGCTTCCTGCCAGCATCAGCCCTGGGAGGCACACATGATGGCCCACGTCCCCGGGCCCCTGTCACCCACACGGGAGACCTGGATGGAGTTCCAAGCTCCTGGCTTCAGCCTGGCCCAGCCCTGGCTGGTAGAAAGTCTCTCTTTCTCTTGCCTTACAAATAAGTAAGAAAAAGTGGTTCAAAGTTCAATAAGTGAATAAATCATTAAAAAGACCACAGGTAAATGGTAGCCGGGCTGTGGAGACAATGGAAACCTAAGGCAGCTGGTGAAAGTGTAGCTTGCCGTACCCAGAGTGGCAGACGGTGCAGTAGCTCTTCAGGAAGCCCATTCGCTGGTAGTGAAGTCGGTGTGTTAGGAGAGATCTGTGCTGTGTGTTCAGTACGGCCTTGTCCCCAGGAACCCCTCCATGGCCGAGAGAGAGATCTCCCATCCGTGCATGGGCTGGGCTGAAGCCAGGAGCGTGGAGCTCCAACCCGCTCTCCATGTACTTGAACCATCGCCTGCTGCCTTCCCAGGGTCAACATTAGCTGGAATCTGGAGCTGGGGCCGTCCTAGCATGCTGATGTGGGACACACGGCATTTGAAAGTTTTATTTTATTATTATTATTATTTTATTGGAAAATCAGATATACAGAAAGGAAGAGAGCCAGAGAGGAAGATCTTCCGTTCGATGATTCACTCTCCAAGTGGCCATAACTGCCAAAGCTGGGCTGATCCAAAGCTAGGAGCCAGGAGCCTCTTCTGGGTCCCCCATGTGGGTGCAGCATCCCAAAGCTTTGGGTTGTCTTCAACTGCTTTCCCAGGCCACAAGCAGGGAGATAAATGGGAAGCAGGGCATTGCGATTGGAACCAGTGCCCCGGTGCATGCAAGGCAAGGACTTTAGCCACTAGGCTACCGCACTGGGCCCAACACATTTTAACTGTTGTGCCATACATTTCCGCACGGCGCACGTGTTTTATTTTAGTTTAGTTTTATTTTTCTGCGTGGTTTTAAGAGGCAGTGAGTCCTGGCATCAGCAAGTGTGGTTAGACATGGCCAATGTCTTTTTTTTTTTTTTTAAAGATTTCATTTATTTTTATTGGAAAGTCAGATTTACAGAGAGAAGGAGAGACAGAGAGAAAGATTTACCATCTGCTGGTTCACTCCCCAAGCGGCCCCAGTGGCTGGAGCTGAGCTGATCCGAAACCAGGAGGAAGGAGCCTCCTCTGGGTTGCCCATGCAGGTGCAGGGTCCCAAGGCTTTGGGCCGTGCTCTACTGCTTTACCAAGCCACAGGCAGGGAGCTGGACGGGAAGTGGAGCAGCCGGGACATGAACTGGCACCCATATGGGATCCTGGTGCATGCAAAGTGAAGAGTTTAGCCACTAGGCTACTGTGCTGGGCCTAATGGCCGATGTTTTTCATCCCTGACCTGCCTTGCGCCTTCTTCCTCTCGCATGCCCTCAGTGCCTGCTGGGTCTCCCGCAGGCCTGTGCGCCCTCACTGTCCCCTGTCTCTTCCAGGAAGGCGAGAACAATGACAAGTTCTTCACCCACCCCAAGGATGCCAAAGCGCTGGCAGCCTACCTCTTTGCACACAACCACCTCTTTTACCTGATGGAGCTGTCCACGGCCCTGCTGCTGCTGCTGCTGTCCCTGTGCGAGGCGCCAGCCGTGCCCGCGCTCCGGCTCGGCATCTACGTGAGTGCTGGCCGCCCGGGAGCTGCCATTCTCTGGGTCAGGAACCTGGAAAGGAACATTCTGGAAGGGCAGGCCCTGCCAACAGACTCCGGGGAACTTCCAGGCCTTTCCATGGTGGTGCCTGGGTGGCCCAGAGGCAATGAATGTTGCCCATCCCTACGCCACAGCTGGTGCTTTCCAGGGAGGGGTGGTGAGCCAATGGCCTCCCGTGGCAGGGTACCCAGGCAAAAGGTGGGCATGGTCATCAGTGGGGGAGAATGTCTCAGCCTGGGGCCGGCTGTCAGTGTGCGGAGGCCTCCTTGTCCCTGTCCCTTTCTCAGGCATGGAAGCAATGAAGGAAGTGTTTGCCTGCCTGGTTAGGGAGACCCTGAAGCCCCCATGGTGAGGCCCTGCTCTCCATTTTCTCACCTGCTCCTGCATGGCCATTCAAGATGGCGCTACTTTCCCTTTTCCTTCTTCTGGGATCCCTTTTCCCTGCCAGCTGCTGTCCCTCACTCAGGTCCCCGGAAAGCCCGGGCCCTGGAGAGATTTCCCACTTCATATCCCGGCTCCCTGCTGGGATGTGGGTTCCAGGAGGGCCAGAGCTCCAGGGAGTGACTCTCCCTCCGGGGGCCGCAGGTGTCAGGTCTTGGAGAGGCTATGGCAGCCCAAGCGGAAGAGGCAAACTCAGCATCCTCCAAGTCTTCTGTGCTTTGGTCCCCAGGAGGTTTGGGGGTGCTGCCTGTCTGCCAGTCCTTGTCCCTCAAACTCCTGGACATACAGTTACATTTTACTGTTTTCCCTTGTCTCAGTCCCTGGCCTATACTTCCTCCATGCCTTTTCAGGATCTGTTATGAATTATGTGGAGTTCTTCCCAGAACCAGGCTGGACATAAAAGTATCCCATTTTGTTCTCTCTCAAACTCCTGCCTGCTGTAATTTGTCACTGTGGCACTCTCACGCATACCTGTAATGTGTACACTGACTTGCTGTTAGTCACCCAGGCAAAGCTGCAAGGCCGAGTTCTCACAGCTGTGTTGGGTGTTGGGAGGGGGTCTATACCCTGCAGGGGAGTGGGCTGGAGGGAGCGGCCATGGACCCATTGGACAGTGACACGGCTGTGTGCCTTGCTCCCAGGTCCACGCCACGTTGGAGCTGTTCGCCCTGATGGTAGTGGTGTTTGAACTCTGCATGAAGTTGAGGTGGCTGGGCCTGCACACCTTCATTCGGCACAAACGGACCATGGTCAAGGTGAAGTGTATGCACACTTTGTCTAGGAGAATATCCCCAGGGCAGCACAGAACAAGGTGGGCTGTAGCCCCTCTTATGGGGTAGCATGTACAAGTGGGGAGAGGGGCCGGGAGAGTTGACGGTGCACCATGCCTGGCGCCCCCAGACCTCTGTGCTGCTGGTGCAGTTCGCCGAGGCCATCGTGGTGCTGGTACGGCAGACGTCCCACGTGCGGGTGACCCGGGCTCTCCGCTGCATCTTCCTGGTGGACTGTCGGTACTGCGGTGGCGTCCGGCGGTAAGGAAGGCATGGGGTCCCCATGGGGTGGGGGGCGTGGGTAACAGGGAGTTCTGTCAAGTCCCTCTCTAGCCTGCTGCTAGCTTCTCTCTTTCTGAGTGGCCACAGAGCCAGATAGCATCTGGGACTCAGCATCCCACTATCTGGGACTCAAGCAGGCTCTCTGGGAACCCCTAACCAGCTCAAGCCTAGACTTAAGTGTACTGTTGGAAGCTCCAGCTGGGAGATTCCTTGGCCAGCGTCCTGTTGGTGGGAGGAAAACAGTTCATTCTTAATTCCATACAGTTGCCATGGGTGGAACTGGATGACTCTGACATGTCTTCTTGCATCCCACTTCCCACTGGGGGCACCTGAGGCTGCCCTTGGACTTCTGCCACACCCTCCTCCTGCAAGGCCCTGTCTCCAGGCAGAGGTGGCCATGCCCATCCTGGTTGCCCCAGCATGTATTCCAAGTGTCCCACTCTTCCCATTGCCCACTGAGGGCCAGAGGGGGTCTCAAACCACAGGGGTGAAAGGCTACACTTGCCATCACACCAGTATGTGGTGGGATTTGATGTTCTCCATCAGAGACGCCAACCCGCCCGCCCCCTCAACTCCAAACCAGCACTGCTACATAGCAGAGCTCCCAGGTAGCCCTGCCCAGCCCAGGCTGGCGCTGCCACACCTGCCTGTCTTCCCTAGCAACCTGCGGCAGATCTTCCAGTCCCTGCCGCCCTTCATGGACATACTCCTCCTGCTGCTCTTCTTCATGATCATCTTCGCCATCCTCGGTGAGAGCTCCTGGAGCAAGTTGGGAACCAGGGACAGTCCTGCCCGCTGCCTTGGCTGCTTCTGGCCAATTCCACCCTTCTTCCCCCGGAGGGCATCCTAGCAGTGGCAGGTGGTTCTTTGTTGACGTTCGGAACACTGCCAAATCCAGAATCAAGTGCTGGACGTACTGGTGTCCAGGAGGCGCTGTGTCCTGGTCCACAGGCAGCACCTTCTCATGGCATGGAGGGACCAAGCAGCCCTCCAGGGACACTGACTCCCTTCATGGCCTGTGTCCTAACAGCATCTCGTGGTGGGTGAGGATGTCACCCCAGGGACTGGGCTTGGGGTGGTGGGGACAGAGACATCGCAAGGATCGCAGTTGTAAAAGTCCAGACGCCCCCCCCATGGACCCACACTGTCCACTCTAGAAGGCGAAATATTAGAAAGAAAATGGAAGCCCCCTTTGCCTCCTCCTTCCTCTATCCCCGCTGCTCCCCCACCAGCTTCTCTCTTCCTGTGTGTCTTCATGCTTTTCCATTGCACCCCATGATGTGCAATCCCCAGCCAGCCACAGACACGGCTCATTTGGTCTAAATAATTGGGGGGCCCGGGATTTTCAATTTAGACTTCATCCCAAAATGCAGGGCCCGGTCTTCTACAGGGCCAAAGCAGCGTATCCTCCACGACCCTGCCCTACCCCGACCCCCTGCAGCCCTAGGATGCCGCAGGCCCCACCCCTGCCTTGTGCTGTCCCGGGCTGCCACTCTCCGTGGACACCTGGCCAAGGCCCCTGTCCTAACATTTCTGTTTCTCCACCACCTTTTAGGTTTCTACCTGTTTTCCCCAAATCCTTCGGACCCCGTAAGTGACCAACACCTGTGTCTGTCCCTCCTTTGACCTTGTCCCTCCAGTGGGTGGCCAGGGGACCCCGCTCTGTGTGGCTTCCCATTGTGGCTTGTGTTTGCCACCTGGGAGTGGCCTGTCACTCCGACTCTAGCCACTTTCTCCCTGTGTCTTTTCTGTCCTGGATCTGGGTCAGTAGCCCTTTCTTGCTGTGTCAGGCCTTAGGGACTCCCTGGAGGAGGAGAACAGCTCTGGAGACCTATGGCTGGCAGGTGTGAGCTCTCACATGTCCGTCTGCCCCTTCCCCTTGCAGTACTTCAGCACACTGGAGAACAGCATTGTCAGCTTGTTTGTCCTCCTGACCACAGCCAAGTGAGTACAGCTCTGCCCTCCCGCCCTGCTGCGGGAACTCGGGCTGCCGCTGGGATAGCAGCGGGCCCAAGAGCTGTGCTGCGGGCACTGTAGGCTGGGGGCGGGTGGGGCCCGGGAGGGCAGAAGGGCTGTGGGGGACCCTGCCTTCTGCATCAGCTTCCCAGATGTGATGATGCCGTCGTACTCCCGGAACCCCTGGTCCTGCGTCTTCTTCATCGTGTACCTCTCCATCGAGCTGTACTTCATCATGAACTTGGTGAGTCACTGAGCCTCGGGCTCCGCCACCACGGCCTGCACCAGGGGAGTGACGTCAGCCGACGACCTCCCTGGGTGGGACTCTGGGGCCAGGAGTGCAGGCTCACAGTCCGGAGTGGGGTGCTGCGGGGAGCGGTGACCGTGATGGCTGCGTTCCTGGGGGAGGCTGGTGGGTCTAGAGCCCATCCTGGTGTTGGGGTCAGCAGAGGCTTCTGGGCCACTCCTGTTTTACTCTTGTATCTGAAGAACAGCCTCACACTGTCACCATAGCCAGGTGCGTCATGAGACCCAGGAAACCCTTTCCTCTGGGTAGACGGGCAACGGATCCTAGCAACATGCCATTGTTAAAACACCAAACTGCATTCCTTTAAGGTTTTTTTTTTTTTTCAAACTGCCAAAGAACTGTATTGCATACCTTGTTGTTTTAATTTGTGATATATTTAGAGCTGTGAAAATCCAGGGCAGGGCCCAGCAGACTATGACCCCTTAGCCACATCTGGCCCCTCAGTGTGTTTCTGTAAATAAAGTTTTATTGGCACAGGGCCACGCCCGCTTCTTTGCATACTGACTGGCTAAGGTTGGTGGCCTTCAAAGCCTCAGAATGACTTTCTGACTCTTTACAGAAAATCTTTGTTCACCTTTGACCTATGGGGGGAAAAATGAAAAACCAGTTTCAAGGGGGGTAGAGAGGACAACAGAATTTCCCTCAAAACATTTATTTTTAAAATTTATTTAAAAAACAAATCGCTCATTCCTTGATTCTCTCCCTAAATGGCCGCAACAGCTGAGACAAGGCTAGGGTTGAAGGCAGTAGTTAGGAGTTTCATCCAGGTCTCCCTGCCGGCGTGGCACCCCAAGCACTCGAGCCATCACAGCTGCCTGCCAGGGTGCGCATTCGCAGGATGCTGGATCAGGAGCCAGAGCTGGGGACTGAAGTCAGGAACCCTCGCCTGGGATATGGGCGTGAATGTCAGAATTTCAGAGGGAGAGTCCTACAGATCTTCCATCTGCTGGTTCGCTCTCCCATTGGCCACCATAGCTAGGAGCCTCTCCCAGGTCTCTCATGGGGGTGTAGGGTCCAAGGAGTTGGACCATCTGCTGCTGCTTCCCCAGGTGCATTAGCAGGGAGCGTAATCAGAAAGAGAGCAACCAGGAACTCTAACCAGCACCCATATAGGATGCTAACCTTGCAGACAGTGGGTTAACCTGATGCCCCTCGGCGCATGCCCCCGGACATGAATTCTTAACCAAAGTTTTAACTCTTTGGCTAAATACCTACTCCCACCCTAAATAGCATTAAAAAAAATTTTTTTTTTTTTTTGCTTATTATTTATTTGGAAGGTAAAGTTAGAAAGACTCTCATTCACTGGTTAACTCCCCATGTGGCCTCCACAGCTGAAAATGTCCAGGCTGAAGCCAGGAGCTACTCCCAGTCTCCCACAGGGATGCAAGGGCTCAAGGGGCCATGTCTGTTGCTTTCTCGTGTGCATTTGTGAGGAGCCAGACCAGAAATGAAGCTACCGGGACTCAAACTGGCTCCCTCATGGAATGCCGACATTACAGGCAGAGGCTTAAACTGCTTCACCACACCCCTACTCTCTCTAGCATCTTTGAAATACGACTGATGCTGACCCATTCCTGACTGCAGGCCTCTTCACTCCTCTTATTTCTGAGGTCACACGAAGCTATGAGTCCCAAAGAGAGGTGGTAAGGGGTAGGCGTGGGAAGTACTGCACAGAGGCCTGCTCCTTACTGCCCCAGGGTTGCCAGGACAGTGGGCACAGGGGGCAGTCTACACACTGGCCTGGGCTGAGTTGGGCTGGGAACCCAGACTTGTCCCTGACTTGTCCCCATCTGGCCAAGGACAAGTGATGTGGCAGCAGCAGTGCCTTCAGGTCTCTGCAGAGAGAAGTGTGTGAGCGTTGACAATGGCCTTCCCCTTTGGAGACTGGGAGGCCAGCCTCCTGTATCCGAGGTCCAGGGCTGGGGAGTGGGGGAGGCAGGCAGAGGTGCCCCCGCCGCAAGCCTGACCCCTGTGAGCAAGGGAACCAGGCCTCGGTGCCCTCCCCTCACAGCTCCTGGCCGTGGTCTTTGACACCTTCAATGACATTGAGAAACGCAAGTTCAAGTCTCTGCTACTGCACAAGCGCACCGCCATCCAGCATGCCTACCGCCTGCTCGTCAGCCAGCGGGTAGGATGGGCAGGGGGTGGGCCTTGGTGCCCTGGGAGCCCTCCCTGTACTGGGTGTCCCTGGCTGGCATGTGGACACCTCCCCTCCCTGCAGAGGCCCGTGGGCATCTCCTACAGGCAGTTCGAAGGCCTGATGCGCTTCTACAAGCCCCGCATGAGTGCCAGGGAGCGCTACCTGACCTTCAAGGCCCTCAACCAGAGCAACACGCCTCTGCTCAGGTGAGTGCATGGGAGCTGACCCAGGCACAGGCAAGTGAGTGCTGGGGTGTGGGTGTGGTGGAGGAGCCGACCAAGCAGCAGGCGAGCTGGGGGCGTGTAAGGGTCCTTGAAGGGGTTGGCTGGATAGACAGGGGTCATTGGCTCTGTGGTCCTCATGCAGCAGGACCTGTATGCTGCAGCTGCCCCTTGTGCCCTAGGTGGGGTGGGGGAGTCCCCTGTGAGCCAGATTGGCAGGCAGAGGGACACACACACACACCTGTGGAGAGTACGGAGCTCCTAAGCTGCTAAAGAGAAAAACTCCACTGGAGAGGGGAGTATGGGTCAGCTCCATCCTGGCCCCAGAGTTCCCACGGGGTGGAGTGGCCATCTGTGAACAGGCGCACAGGGTGTGGGAGCATCTGTATCAGCACAGAGGAACGGATGGTGTGTTCCCAGGTGGTGGGACAAAGGCCTCCTCCACCCCTGCCCCTGGAGAGGGACCCAGAGGCAGGAGAGGGAGGGTAGGGAAGCTCGTGGGCCCGAGTGCTGAGTCCTCTTGCCCTTTGGTTTGCCTGTGACAGCCTTAAGGACTTTTACGATATCTACGAGGTTGCTGCCTTGAAGTGGAAGGTGAGTGCGTGTGAGACCAGAAAGGGTGAGAGGGCCCCTGCCCGCTCCTAGCTCAGCATGCCCCCACCTCTGCCCTGCCATTTGCCAAGCACCCACCAAGTACCCATTAGTTGCCTTCGTCACCGTTGACCACAGGTGGGTGAGACTTGGCCCACTCCAAGACAACAGGGCACGGCAAGTGCTGGCTGCCCGTGTTGTCTTGTCCATCTGAGGGTTGATGGTGTTTCAAGCGCAGGCTGAGCAGGGAAGGAAGACCACCATCCTGACTCCAGGCTGCTGCTGGCTGCCTGCCCTGACCCCCTCTCCCTGTGGTCCTGTCGCCCTGCCAGGCCAAGAGCAACCGAGAACACTGGTTTGATGAGCTGCCCCGCACAGCATTCCTTATCTTCAAAGGTAAACCGGGCCCATGCCGGGGACAGACCAGGGATGAATGTTTGAGGGTATGTCTGAAGGGCCAGTGGATGATGTGTGTGCAGGCACCTGTGCACAAGAGAATGTGGAGCGAGCTCTTCTGTCTGCTGGTACACTCCTCAAATGACTGTAACAGCCAGAGCTGGGCTGGTCCAAAGCTGGGAGCCGAGAGAGCTCCTTCATAGTCTCCCACGTAGGTGGCAGGGAGCCAGTCCTGTGGGCCATCCTCTGCTGCTTTTCCCAGGCCATTAGCTGGGAGCTGGATCAGAAGTGGAGCAGCCGGGACTTGAACCAGTGCCCATATGAGATGCTGGCTTTACTCATATCACCACAGCACTGACCCCGTCATAGAGTTTTTCATTCCACAGGGATGGTAGTTTCTTGTGTGGGTGCCTATTTATGCTGGGCCTCAGCGAGCAGCAGTTTCCATTCTAGCTGTGGCCAGCGCAGCCCGGCTCTGCTGTCTGGTCTCTGGGCTGTGCTGGCTGAGCCCAGAGCAGCCGCCCTCCGTGAATGGAAGGCAGTGTCTGAGCAGACGCCTGGGTGCCACCGCTGCCCTGGCACCCCTGGTACGTGTGTGGGAGAGATGTGCATGCCTACGAGGTGTCCACACTAACACTCCTTCTCTTCTCCCAGGAATTAATATCCTTGTGAAGTCCAAGGCCTTCCAGTATTTCATGTGTAAGTGCGGACACTCCGGCCCCAGGCTCCCTTTTCTCTCCCGAGACCTTGCGGTCCTCGCAGGAGGAGATGAGAGAGTCACCCTGCACGACACAGTTAGACTTAACTATCGTGGACAATCCCAAGCGAGTGTGCAAGTACAGAGTGGAAGATAAGGTGCAGTGCAGGGCCTGTCACACTCATCTCTGGGCCTGTCTTACCTGTCCATCTGGGATTAAGAATCGTTTTTCTGCCAAGGGCAGTTACACACTTGCAATGACCTTGCGTCCACTGTGCCGCTCCCCAAGCGACCGCCAGGGCTAGCAGAAGCCAGAAGCCTAGAATGCTGTTCATGTCTGCCTTGTGGGTGGCAGGGACCCAAGCAGCTGGACCATCTTCTACTGCCTTGCTAAGTACATTAGGAGAGAACTGAATCGAAAGTAGAACAGGCAGGACTCGAAGTGGTGCTTGTATGGGATTTTGGTATCACAGGCAGTGGTTTAATCCAGGGCCAGTTGAATGCCCAAACCCAGGCTCACAGCAGCACTGACACCATCGCTCACTCGCTCTGTCCCACTGTGTCAGAATAACCATCTCCACAACGCAGCACCGGAGGCCATCTCGCTGGAGACATTCACTCCCGGTGACTTTGTTTTCAGGTCACCTTGAAGGGGGGTGTTCCATGGAGGACTGGCAACAGCCAGGACACGTTTAACTTTCTCCAATTCATCTGCCTTTCAAGTAAAAATAAAATAGAAGCTTAAAAAAAAGGAGGGGGGCGTGGAGGAAGGCAAAATGACTGGAGAGAGAGAGATCTTCCATCTGCTGGTTCATTCCCCAAATGGCCTCGAGTCCAGGTTGAAGTTAGGGCCCACACCTCTTCTCCCCCAAAGGTGACAGGCACCCAAGCCCTACAGCCACATCTGCTACCTTCCAAGGAACAGTCATAGCGGAGAACTGAATCAGGTTCCGATAATGAGATGCCGGCAGCAAGAAAGGTGGCTAAAGCCACTGTGTCACAGTGCCAGCCGCCGCCGAAGCTCCCTAGCCAGTGTGCCCACAGAGAGGGTACATTTCGGCATTCACAACTGTGGGCTAAGGGGAACCGCTGGCAGGTCCGGCCCCTGCAAGAGGATCCCCAGGGGGTCCCGCTGTCTATACCCTCAGTGCTGCCCAGAAAGGAGCCGCAGCCATGACCTGCAGGGCTACAAGTCCGCCTGGGCCTCCTGTGTCTCTTTCAGACCTGGTGGTGGCAGTGAACGGAGTCTGGATCCTGGTGGAGACGTTCATGCTGAAAGGTGTGCCCCAGGGGGGACTGTGGGGTGGCCAGGACTGGCCACACACCTGGCTGACATCTGGACTCCTGTTTCTCCCTCACAGGTGGGAACTTCTTCTCCAAGCACGTGCCCTGGAGTTACCTCGTCTTTCTGACCAGTAAGTTGCAGGCGTGCGTTTGTTGGCTGCCTTGCCTTCAGTGCTGGCCAGGAGAATTTTGCTTCTGTATTCCATGGTTTGTCCAGATTCCATTTTGTCCTCTGGGTCAAGCTCTCCTGGCTTCCTTCCGTTCAAGTCCAGATATTGGGTGTGTCACCTGCAGGGCATCACCCCTGTGGCTTAACTCCTTTGGTGGTTCATTTATTTGAGAGATGGAGACAGATCTTGCACTTGCTGGCTCTCTCCATCAATGCCCTTAACAGCTGAAATCCAGGACTTGGGATTTCAGTCTGGTTCTCTACTTAAGGCGAATAGGAAGCCCAGCAGCTGGCCACCACCTGCCGCCCACTCCCAGGGCATGCATTGGTGGGAAGCTAGTTCTCGAAGGCAGAACCGGGACTCCAATCAGGTGCTCTCATATGGGACGCAGGTCCCAAGCTATGTCTTGACCATTCTGATGGCCACCCCGTGGGCTGGCCCTGCCATTGCACTTGGCGCTCACTGTGGATGTAGGTGTGGCCTGAGTGCTGTTGGGGTGGGGAGGGGAGAGCCAGGAGGCCAGTGGGGAGACACCTGGGAAAAGCAGGAGACTGCAGAAGAGCCTCTGAGAGTAACCCTGCCACTTGCTGTCCGCAGTCTACGGGGTAGAGCTATTCCTGAAGGTGGCCGGCCTGGGCCCTGTGGAGTACCTGTCATCTGGCTGGAACCTGTAAGTGTACCACCTGCTTCTCACCCATGGCCACAACTGCAGGGACCAGTGCATCCCCCATAGCCGGGGCCCCGGCTGCAGGTGCAGGCCAGAGCTCTGGGCACAGGCCTCGCTGCAGCAGCTCTGCCCATAGCCTAGGGACTCCCCAGGGCCAGACCCTCGCCAGCCCTCCTGGAAATGACCTCTTGAGGTCTCTTGGGCTGATTTACTCTTCTTGCATCATGATACTGACTTCTCTGTTAAAACCACATCCCCACAGAGAAAGTTCTAGTACCTTGCTTGGTGAGCAGCCAAGGGGTCCATGGGCCCTGCCCCACCTGCTGAGGGCTCGAGCCCCGTTCACTTAATTCATGCATGCCATCAGTCTGGGCTCACGAGGTCCTAGGTAGGGAGAGATAGATGGGCGAATAAGAAACATCCAGGAGCCTGGGAAGGCTGATTCCTGGGGCTGAAGCTCCTGGGCTAGATGGGTAGTTCCCTCGAAGGCTGCTGAGGCCTCTGTCTTTATGAGCTGTACAGGGTGAGTCCCGGGCCTTAGTGGCCAGAACCCGGGAGTGTTGCAGCTGGCCCCCACCCATGTGTGTGACTGACACTGGCCAGGCGAGCAGGAAGGAGCTTGCTGGTGCACCCACTTCCTGACGTGCTGTTGTCTGTGCTGGTGGGGTGGGTGGACAGGCCCCCTGGACAGGCTCACAGTGTACAGCCAGGCCAGGCAGTGGTCGTGGGGGTGGGTGGATGGGCCCCCTGGACAGGCTCACAGTGCACGGTCAGGCCAGGCAGTGGTCGTGGGGGAGGCTCCCGTGTCCCTCTTTGAGCTGGCCTCTTCCTGCGCTCCCCCACCAGGTTTGACTTCTCCGTCACAGTCTTCGCATTTCTGGGGCTCTTGGCCTGGGCTCTTGACATGGAGCCCTTCTACTTCATAGTGGTCCTGCGTCCCCTGCAGCTGCTCAGGTGATGGCTTGGGGCAGGGGGCAGGAGAGGGAGAGAGGCTGGTGGGAAAATCCTGGGGCTGGCCACAAGAATGACCTCGAATGAGCCAGGGAACTCAGTGGCTGGAGTTCCCGGGTGTCACTGGCCCATCCCAGTGAGTGCATGCTGGCTGTCTGGGTCCCCTCCTGTGCCTGACACTGTTGCAGAGAAATCTGACTCATGATTCTCATGACCTCTGCCTGAGTGGGACCTGCTGCAGCCAGGAAGGCCCACAGAGCAGAGAGCCTTGGCTGCTGAGGGCTGGGGGCCCATTCCCCTGGGGCTGCTGGAGCCAGTGCACCTGCCCTGCTCACACCCCTCACTGCCCTAGGGCTTGGCGGTGTTTGCCCTCCCAGCTGTGCCCTGGCTTCTCTCTCCTGGATGTGGGGAGGAGGTCCCAGGCAGCACCTCTGGAAGGAGCTCCCGGCATCCCTCCTCAGGGGTGGCTTGGGGCAGAGCCCCTCCCTCTTGGACTGCCACCTTCCTTTCCTGGGAATCTTCCATGTCCTTACAGGCCCCTGTCCTTCTTTCCCTGGTGGCCCCCCAAGCCTCTCACTCCATTTGCAAACTGTGGCAGAGCAGACCCAGCTTGGCCCTGTGTCTTCCACAGAGGGTCTTGGTGTCCTGGGCGTGCCACTGTCCCTTGCTACATGCGTGAGTCACCACAGCCCAGGGCTGGACTCGTGGCTCTGAGGGACAGATGGATGACCGTTTGGCCTCCTCTTTCCCTGCGGACTGGTATAATAGATGGACGGCAGCAGGTCCCAAAGGAGGGACTCAGCTGGGTGCCTGCATCTGCCCATGACTTGTACCCTCTCCTCGTTCAGGCTATTTAAACTGAAAAGACGTTACCGCAACGTGCTGGACACCATGTTTGAGCTGCTGCCACGCATGGCCAGGTACTGCCTGCCGTCAGGCTGTAGGTGCAGGCCGCCTAAGGCTTGTGCCTAAAGGGACGGGCAGCTGGGTGGCTGCAGGGGGAGCAGAAGAGTCCCAGAAAGGAGCAGCATCACGGGGTCAGTGGGTATTGATGGAGGAGGGAGGTGGGATGCTGAGCACACAGGACTGCCTGGCCCCCATTCTTCTCCTCTCACCCGACTGGCACATTCAGTAGGGAGGGCAGGGATCTGTCACCTCACTCACCGCCTCTGTCTGCGTCCGCAGGTAAGGGCCCCCTGTGAGTCTACCTGCGCAGGTAAGGGGCCCATCTCTCGTCCAGGGGCATCTGGTCATAGAGTCCCAAGCTGAGCTGTTTCCACACCCGACCTGAGCCAAGAACCCCTCCCCGGCAGGGACTTTCCAGCTGGTCACCGGCTAGGAGCATGCGGCCCCTGCAGTCTGCTCAGGGGATCTGAGAGGCCTCTGCAGCCCGGCCATCCACCCCTAAACCACGCCATCCCTTTGTCCTCCCCACAGCCTGGCCCTCACCCTGCTCATCTTCTACTATTCCTTCGCCATTGTGGGCATGGAATTCTTCTATGGGATCCTCTATCCCAACTGCTGCAAGTGAGTACAACCTGGCCCTGCCCGGTTCCAGTACCCTTGGATTCTGGGAAGCTAGGCCCAGTAGGCTCCTCACCCAAGTGCTTGGGGACCCTGTGGTCACTTTACTCAACACTCAGGCCTCCATGAAGCACATCTCTGGAGCAGGTGTGCCCAGACGAGCTCCCTGTCACCCAGATATAGCCCAGGGAGCACGTTCCCTTCCATCAGGCCACCATTAGCTCAGCCCAGGCTGGTACCTGGAGGCTGCCCCAGTATCCCAGTGTCATGAGGCCCATGGCCGCCACACACTTCTCTCCAGGAATGGCCATGGAGCTGGGCTGAAACAGCTCGTGCCAGGTGGGTGAGGTGGGATAGGCAGACATATGGCAGGTGGTCCTTGGGCTCAGGAACAAAGAGGAACAAAGCCTCCTATAGCCACCTCTGTTCCCCCTCCCCTCCTCCCAAGCCACCACCGTGGACTTCTGGACTCTGCCACCAAGGGCTGGGCCCCAGTGTCCTCACAGGCTCTGGGCCACATGGCCAAGAGTGTTTACAAAGAGGCCAGGAACTGGGCTGAGTGCCAAGCTGATCCACAGAGAGCCATCCTGAGGCTGTGGCTCCCATGCTGCAGGGACCCGCACAGTCACCAGGGAGCCCTGTAGAGTACACCCTCCAGATCTAAGCCCTCGGCTCTGCCTTCTGCACAGGTGCAGGGTGGCCCAGTCACATTCAGGGCTTACTCAGGCGTGGTACCAGGGAAGTCAGGAAAGGATTCTTCCAGGAGCTGGCACTGCGATGCAACAGGCTAAACCACCACCTGCAATACCAGCATCCCATCCCAGTTACCCGTTCAAGTCCCAGCTGATCCTGTCCCACTCCCTACTGATGCACCTGTGAAAGTAGCAAAAGTTAGCCCAAGTGCTTGGATCTCTGCTCGCCATGTGGGAGAACTGGATGGAGGATTCCCCCTATCCTGGGCTTGCTCACCTCCAGACCCAGTCTGGGCAGGCCCATGAGGAGGGCTTTATCCCTCCCACAGTAGAGCACCAGAGAAGGGGTGGGCCTAGAGGAAGCTGACAGTCTTGCGACCCTCTTTCTGCCCTCTTTGCCTCCTTGGCCAGTGCCAGCACCGTGGCAGATGCCTACCGCTGGCTCAACCACACCGTGGGCAACAAGACCGTGGTAGAAGAAGGTTACTATTATCTCAACAACTTTGACAACATCCTCAACAGCTTCGGTGAGGCCACGCATCCCATACGGCCACCTCTGTCCCTCTCCTGAGCCATTGGCCATGCCTCCTTGGGGTTGTGGGCTGCCCAACAGCCTTAGGGAAGGTCTCAGCCATGTCCAGGCTCTAGTAGATTTCCTTTACATGACACCTGTTCTGCCTTGGGAGAACAACTCTGCGCCTTCACCCATGGGGGCCTGATGGTGCCAAGAAACTGCTCAACCCCCTACCCAGCTTAGGTTCTGCTCAGTCCCTTTCACTTCCTGACCCCATTCCATGGGCGGTGGGAGCCTGAGGGAAGTGGCCCTGCCAATACCAGCCTCTCAAGAGGAGTGGGAGCACCTAGGGGGACCCCAGGTCTGCCCTGAGGGGGTGAGGATGCTCCCCACCGTCTATGGCACAGGGTGTACCCTTTGGGGGACAGACGGAGATGTCTGAGCCCCTGGAGGGCAGGCGCTCAGGGAGTTGCCTGGGCCAGATGGGAGAGGTGCCTAGAAGCTGCTCTGACTAAAGTGCCCCCTCTCCTCCCCTTCCCATGGCAGTGACCTTGTTCGAGCTCACGGTTGTTAACAACTGGTACATCATCATGGTAAGGGTCTTGGACAGCCCCTGATGTGTTCCCCACTCACATGCTAGAAGCCAGCTCTGGTCCCTGGGTCCCAGGGACTCTTCTGTCCCAGCAGGCCACGAGGTCCTGCTCCCACCCTGTGGGCTACAGCTGCCTTCCCAGCACCTGGTACCTGCCAGGATCAGCTGAGGAGCCTAACTCCGAACACCATGCCCAGGCTCAGTGGAGATGCTTCCCAGGCAGGAAACTGCATGGTGTGGGTCATGGGTGGGTTCTGTCCTTTCCTCAAATGCTTCCAAGCTCCTCTCCCTACACTCAGAATCCCAAGAGACTACATGTGCCCACCCTGGGTGCTTCACAGCACCTGCAGAGCACGCCACATGGAGGGGTTTGCAGGGAGCTGGGGCCTCTCCTCTGGCCTCCATTAGCAGAGACCAATGAGGAAGGGCCACACGTGGGCTGAGTGGGCAGGGGCTGGCACTGCCTGGGTGCTTGCTCACTGCCACCGCCACCTCCTCCTCCTCCAGGAAGGCGTCACCTCCCAGACCTCCCACTGGAGCCGCCTCTATTTTATGACCTTCTACATCGTGACCATGGTAGGCTGGGCCCTGTACCCTCCCCTCGGGGTCTCCCTGTCCTGCATGTAGCACGGGCAACATGCCTGCCCTGGCCGACTCTGCCCATACCCCGCATCCTTCCTGCCAGGTGGTGATGACCATCATCGTGGCCTTCATCCTCGAGGCCTTCGTCTTCCGGATGAACTACAACCGCAAGAACCAGGACTCGGAAGGTGAGTGGGGATCGCTCTGTGGGTCTGCAGCTGCTTAGACGCCCGCAGTTCAGCTGCCTGGCCAGACCTCTCGGTGGCATTATCGTGACTGGGAAATGCTCAGAATCCAACTTGAGAGCAGACACAGCGCATGTCGTTGTTGGCCAAGGCTCGAGCCTCGAGAATTGCCCAGCAGCACTTTGTCCTCTGTGTCCCCAAAGCTCACAGAGTTTTTTCCTGAGCCACATGTGTGGCCACCACCCAGGCTAATAACGTCCCATCCGTGGCGTGACTGTCCCGGCTAAGCCCGTTGCACAGCTTTCTAATATAGCCCTTTGTCCTCTGGTCCTCCACCCAAGCTGCCCGACGCCTGTGCCTGCTTGTTCCCAAGTCTCTGTCCTATCAGGCTGTCCGGCCACTTTTTTCTTATGATTGCTTTTATTCATTCAAAAGCCACAGATTGAGAGAGGAGAGAACTTCCATCCTCCAGTTTACTCCCTAATGGCCACAACTGCCAGGGCCAGGCTGGGCTTAAGCCAGGAGCTAGGAGCTTCCTCCTAGTCTCCCAAGCACTTGGACCATCTGCTGCTGTTTTCCCAAGTGGAATGGGAAGCGGTGCAGCTGGGACTTGAACCTGTGTTTCAAAATGGGATCTGGCATTTGCAGTGGTGCTTAACTTGCTGCACCCCAATGCCAGCCCCCGCCTGGGTCATTTCCCTCATACTTGGAGACTCCTTGCCAACACCTCTACCTTTCCCATAAACTCCAGACAAGACCCTCACTGCTGACGTCCAGGAAGGGCAGGGAAAGGAGCTGGGCGGGTTATGTTGAGCCTGAGTCTGCTGGCGGGAGGAGGTGCTTAACCAGGCTCATGCCAGGGTGGGGCTCTGAGCCACAGGCTCTTGCGGTCCCTGCAGTTGACGATGGCATCACCCTGGAGAAGGAGATCTCAAAGGAAGAGCTGCTGGCTGTCCTGGACCTCTACCGCGAGGTGCGAGGGGCCGCCTCAGATGTCACCCGGCTGCTGGAGACACTGTCCCAGATGGAGCGGTACCAGGTGAGCGGCACTGGCTTAGGCCCAGAGGCCTGTGTTGACACGACACCTCCCTCCCCTCAAAGCTCAAAGCTGGAAGCTTTGGGGAATTGGATGGGGACACCAGTGCCCTGCCACGGGTGGGTGGTCTGGCTGTGCGTGGGGCCTGCCATGGATGGGACCTGCACCGTGTGCAGCCAAGCCTAGCAGCCTCTGTTCTTCCTTAGCAAAATTCCCTGGTGTTTCTGGGGCGGAGATCAAGGACCAAAAGTGATCTGAGCCTGAAGATGTACCAGGAGGAGATCCAGGTAGGAGCCCCCCAGCTGCAAGCTATACCGGCTTACCCACTAGGGCAGGGGCTAGGGTCAGGGCAGGGCTGGGACAGGGGCCATGGCCAGGGCAGGGCTGGGACAGGGGCCATGGCCAGGGCCAGGGCTGGGCTGGGGCCAGGGCCAGGGTAGGGCTGGGGCAGGGGCTGGGGCCAGGGCCAGGGCTAGGGCTAGGAAGGGGCTGGGGCCAGGGCTGGGCTCCTCCCACTGCCATGTCCTTAATCGGTGCCCCAGTGGAGGCAGCCCTCCTCTCCAGCCTGTGTGTGCGTGCCCCTGCAACTTGTCCATCCCCTGCTCTGAGTTGTGCAGGAGGTGGAGCTGGAGGGGAGTAGGCAGGAGGTGGCTACAACCCCCTGGCAGGAGGGTAGAATATTTCCAGCCCATATTTGACCCTTGGGAATAAGGACCCCTGCTGTCCCCAGGGTACTTGTGTTTTTAAGAGAGAAGTACCTTTTTGTACCATCTCCTGGTCCTTGGCCCTTCGCTGTTGAGTAAAGGTTTTGCCACCCCAGCCCAGGGAGTTCTATTCCCCCTGGGGTCCCTTGGGGCTCTGGAAAGTTCTTCCCTGCCAGCCCCAGGGGCTATGCTGCTTGCTGGGGATCCTTGTGACTTGGCGACACGTGTGGTCACATGTGCTGCCACAGGTGACACAGGATACCGAGTGGTTACCCCCCTGAGCCTTGCTGAAAGAAGAGCCGCAGCCCAGGCATCTCTCCATGTCTTGCATTCATCCTAGTCTGAGTAGCAGACTCAGAGCACCTGAGGCCTGCTGTGACCCCCACTGGTGGGGTGGCATCGGGAGGCCTGCCTCTCAGCCCACATCTGCTGTCTGCCCCAGGAGTGGTACGAGGAGCATGCCCGGGAGCAGGAGGAACAGCGACAGCTACTGAGCAGCACCGTGCCCACCATCCCGCAGCCCCCGGGCAGCCGCCAGCGCTCGCAGACTGTCACCTAGCCCCGCTCGCAACAGCTGCACCATCTATGCAATAACACAATAGTATTATCTCACCGCCATGTACGGAAACACGTGTGTGTGCGCACACACGTGCTCAGATATATGCACACGTTTATATAGAGCAGGAGACCAAGGCAGGGGGGAGGCTTGCTGTGCAGCCTGCTGGCCCCGAGTTCCTTCACTCCAGAAGTCCCTGTGGTTCAGGGGGCAGGGAGAGTGGGGACCCACTCCCAGGGAGCTCTGGCTAATGTGGAACATTCCAGAAGCCCCTACCCGAGACCACTAGAGCAGACGTAGCCCTTCTCTGCAGGGCCAGCCTTTAGGGTGGGCCCGGACCAGTCTTCCTGCTGCCACTTTCAAGCCCATGGTCCCCCTGCGGCTGCCTACTGACTTGCTGTGCCCACTGCCTGGGCGTTAAGTGTCTGGCTTTAGGGACAAAACCACTTAGGCAGGAAAGAGCCCGGACCATATAGGCAACACTAGTGCCTGGTACCTCCCAGGGAAGGTGCGAGGGGTGTGGCTCTCCTGGGCAGTCAGTTCCCAGTTAGCAGAGCTGAAATGGGGAGAGGCTGTTGGTGGGTTTGGGACTCTGACTCGGAAGTCGTTTCTCCTGTGTGTCTGTGTCATTCCTGTGGCTGGAAATCCTTCTCTGGTGGCCTTCTTGCAGAACCCAGGTCCAGTGACAGGCTGCTGGTTGTGATGGCCATGACACCAGAGTGCTCCCCTCTCCCTGCACACACAGGCTCCTTGCCTGTCCAAACCCCTCTTCCTGTGGTTCAACCTGTTGAACAGAAGGATGCTGGGTTCACTGAGGATGGTGCTGAGAGCAGGTGTGTGGGAGGAGTCCACGGCAGAGGCATGGGGAGTGCCTGCCCCCGTGGGACCTGGCTGCAGCTCAGGCCACCCTGGCCTGGGACAGTCCTCTCTGCCTTGGAGGGCCAGCTGGGGCAGGCAATCAGCTTCCCCTGAAGCAGGACACTCAGTGATGCAGTCCCCAGGGACCCTAGTGGGAACTCTGTCCACACACGGGTGAAGTCGAGGCAGGTTTGGGAATGGAGCAGCGGCCTTCTGAGCTTGGGACGGTGGGCGATAGAGGTTCCACGACCCCAACACCCCCAGTCCCAGGCCAAGTAGGACAGCCTGATTCCCAGGGGAGCAGCACCCAGCTTCCCGCTCCCATCTCCAAGGCCAGGCTGGCTCCACGGCCAGCATGGCACAGCTGTCCCTGAGCTGGGGATGAGGGTGGCTGATGTGGGGTGTTCAGTCACCATCTCCAGGCAGACGATGAGTCCCCGAGAGCCCGTGTGCTGCCCATCGGAGGCAGGTTTTGTACATTGTCCTCTCCCAGTCTCTGCAGGGCCACAGCCTTCCCCACTATGAGCAGGAACTTTCTTTGCACAACTGTGTGCCTTTGGGGTTGTGTGTGTTGGAAGTGGGGGCCAAGGGTAGCTCTAACCAGCTGCCAGGGCTGGTTCTGGGCTGTGACCTTGTCCACACGCCTGCCGTGTCTGGGAGAGGCCCTAGGGTCACCCAGCACTGGATGAACAAGCAGGCAGAGGGGACAGAGGGGCCAGACTCCAGCCAGGGGCCACTCTCATCGAGACTGAAGACACACTGACCCACAGCCCCGCCTACTGAGCAGGGGACAGCGTCCTCGGGGTCTAGGAGCCCTGGAGGCCCTAGACATCGCCTTGGCCCCATGTCACAGCCTGGCAGGGCAATGACAGCCCCTGTGCCCTCACCCTGGCTTGGTGTAGAGGCCCTTGCTGGCCCCCGCCCTGCCCAACCCCAGCCTTACTCCACACCACGCGGACAATCATTTTGTACAGATCACGGGAGCGGCCTGGGAGGTTTTGTACGTTGCTGATTTGTTACTTGGAAATGCCCCGTGTCCCTGATTTCTGGCATATTAATAAAGAGCCTCTGCTTTGTAAACATGGCTGCCGTCTCATGACTCTGCCACCTCCTTGCCCTCCCCAGTGCCTTGGTGCCTTGGGCCCAGCCACTCAACCCCCGAGCCCCAGCAGAGGTGGCATTAAGAAGGCAGCTTCGGTTTTAACTGTGAAATATTTAATCCCTTGAGGGAGAAGTCAGACAGGCAAGTCTCTTGCTTTACCACCCAGGGTAAGCCAGGCAGCAGCTGCCTGTTGGAAAGGTTAGGGCACAGCTGGGAGCCAGAGGGCCCAGGGCAGTGGTCCTCGGCTTGAGGTAGGCATAGGGCACAGCCAGTGGCCTCCCATCTTGTATCCGGGGGGCCTGAGGCTGTGGGCGGGGAGGATGTGCCAGGGCCATGGCAAGGTTCCAGGCTGGGGTCACCGTGCAGCCACCAGGTTCAGTAAAGCACACCAGTGCCAGCTCACACCTGCAGCACTTGGCCTTGTGAGCAGGACATCCATTGACAGCACCTGCTCGGTCTGGGTCCCTGTGGCCGAGGCTGGGCGACAACTGGAGGCCTGGATCCCACGAGGGGTTCCTTAAGCTAGGGCTGAGCTCCTGCAGGTACTTCCAATGTGCATGCTTCAGGGGTCTTCCAGGCAGTCCAGGAGGGGGACCCCAACATCCCCTTGACCCTAAACTCTAGCCCTCCTTGCAGAGGCTACAGGTGGTTCCACGAGTGTCCTGTTTCCCTCAGGGTCTTGGTCCACAGTGACGCTCCCTGCCCAAGTCCCTGCGTGATGCTACTGGGTGCTAGCAGCCAGAGGGACTTAGTTCTCCTGTCCAGCAGACACTCCGGGGGCCCACCTACCCACGTGACCCCACTCCCACCAGGTACAGGGCTCCACAGCTGCCGTCACCCACTCTTCAGGTGAATCACCCCAAACTCCGTGAGAAGGGCCACGATGAGGAAGTTCAGGTACAACAGGAGCAGGCAGAGGCCGTAGGCTTTGCTGAGCTGGAAGCATTGCAGTGGGACAGAGACCAGCGAGATGGCCAGGCTGAGGCCCAGGGCACCGGCCAGGACCCACACCAGCAGGCCGGCTGGCTCCAGCTGCAGGAGGGCAGAAGAGAGGGTCTGGGGCACGGCCTCATCCTCACCGTCACCTCCACCCGGCTGACACCCATGTCTCTAAGTCAGAGGGTGAACAACCCACTGCAGGGTGGCTCCCAGAAGCTTCTAGACCCAGAACCAGCAGGAAAAGAGAAACGTCTGCCAACTTCCACTGCTGCCAGCTGGCTGTACCCCACCTCAGCTCAAGCCTGGTGGTCTTACAACACCATGTTAGGTTCCTGGTGAGGGGAGGAATGGGTGTGCCTAAAACGCCTGTCTTTGGAGCTCCCACAGAAGTGGTCGCAAAAAGGAGCTCCTTCAAGCCAGGAAGGAAAATAAAACCTACAGTAGGTGTTTGCCATTGGAAAAAGAAAGGAAGGGTCGAGTGGTTTGAAAGGCTGGTGAGGAAACCAAGGCCCTGGGAGTCACCATGCAGAGCCATGCAGCAGCAATGAAATTACAGGACCAGGACCCAAACACCTTCTCCTCTTGCTAATCACTCTACAGATTTGCAAGGGATACATTCCGCCGCCCCCCCCCCCACACTCAACATGCACGCTATGCTGCAAAGCAATCAAAAATTCAGACAAGCCCCCTTGCCCAGAAAGTGTGAACAGATGGGATGTAATGGCTTCCCCAGCCCAGGAGGGTCGGGGGAGGGCAGGAGAGCCAGGCCCCCTTGCAGGAGCTGTGGCCACTCACCTTAACTTCGGCGTGGCTGCGCGAGATCTGCAGCAGGCAGCCCAGCCCGACGCCCACCAGGAGATCTGCAGCCAAGTTCAGGAAGTACGCTAGAGCAGGACACCCATTCTCCCCACGCTGCCGCCCCTCCCCCTGGGTCCGACCTAGGCCCCCCAAAACCCAGTCCGCCTAATCTGTGCACACAGGGTGCCTGTGGCTCCAGCAGTCACATCACCTGCCTGACCTGTCACATGGGGAACATTACCCCAGGGACACCAGTGCGAGGCAACCTCGCAAAAGATACTGAAGATGATGCCCCCGAAGCAGGCTGCAAACGCCATCCGTGGGTAGCCCTGGCGGGCCAGGGTGAAATCTGAGAAGGCATCTGTGTAGACAGGAGAGGGTGTCGGTGGGGCCACGTCTTCTGGCACCTTCCACGGTCACTCTCGGTCAACAGACTTCAATGAACACCCTCCTGAGGCTGGCATTACCCACCAGGTGCTATGGGGATGTGCGGCATCAGTAAGGCACAGTTCTCTTCCCCTACTCTTTCCTGCCAGGGCAGTCTAGGCACATAGTAGGACATGCTGCTTTAACTCACTGGGGCAGCTACTGTGGCATAGCAAGTTAACCCACCACTGCTGGTTCAAGTCCCAGCTGCTCTGCTTCCCATCCAGCCCCCTGCTAATGCAGCACCTGGGAAAGCAGCAGAAGATGGCCCACGTGCTTAGGCCCCTGCATCCATGTGAGAAACCCAGCCAGGGTTGCAGGTTCCTGGCTTCAGCCTGGCCCAATTCTGGCTATGGAAGCCACTGGGGGAGTGAACTGGCAGCAAGAAGACCTCTGTCTATATAACTCTGCTTTTCACATACATCCCTACATCTTTTAAAATAAAGACAGTTGGCACCGAGTCCATGCTGACACATGCCGTGGATGCCACTACTTGGATGCCACTCTGATTACAGAGTGAAGAGCCCCCATGAGACCGTGCTCATGCTAGATGCCCACCCTGCCCAAGTCACCTCCGATACTGTTCCCCCAGGCCAGCAATGTGAGGCCCAGGACAGTGTTGCTGAGCCGAAAGACTACGCCCAGCGACCGTAAGATGTTCACCACCTCCGTGGCAGCCGCGTTGATCCACAGAGCACTGGTCAGGAAGCCCAGGAAAGCAAAGAGCTGTGGGGGTGGGGAAGAGACATAGCTCCCATCAGATTTGTAGCCCACCCATCACTCTAGAAAAGTAACCCCTTGCCTGTTAGTCAGTCCTCAGTGTCTACACCCCAGGCCAAGCCACTGCCCCACAATGCCTGCCCCGATGTGAGGTCCTTGGAGCTGGGTCCTGCACTTGCATCTTGCACGAAACCCCCATGACCATGGACCTGGTCCCCCCACTGCTCATTGCTGCCCCAGAAACAGTTCCCGTGAGTCCAGGGCATTCCTGATTTCTAAAGTATTTATGATCTCAGGGAGACAAAAGTCCTCAAGATGTGGAATCAGTTCCCGGTGAGCCACCCCACGTGAAATCCACCTGCACACGGAATCCTGCCTGCCCTCCAACAGCCCCTCGTCTGGCTCATTGTACCTGGGGTTCTTACCCAGTGGAACTTGGGAGGCTCGTTGTTGGATGTGGCAAAAAAGGTGATGGACGCCAAGGCCGTGCCAGCCATCACCACCACTGCCCACACGGGAAGGACGCCGCCTATCTCATAGACGCCATCTGCAGAGGGACAAGAAGCGGCTCTCAGATCAGCATGTCCTGGACGGCAGAGCCAAAGTACAGCTGGCTGCCCAGGTACATTGTAGGTACCCCCATGCGCTTGCGGGATGGCATGATGGGACAGGCGAAAAATGACAGAAAATGTGAAGGAAGCTCTCAGGCCAGTTACATGAGCAAGGAAAGACAGACCCATGGGGAGCCGACTTTCCCGCCTTCTGTGCTGGAGCCATGGCAGACATCACTAATCAACCACGATAGTTCCAACTAAGCTTTAAGGCAGCCCTTCTGGCCAGGCATTACCAACAGATGGGCAGAGCTCTGTGAAACGAACTTTCCAATCAAACCCTACCTGACACACAGACTTGAGCCACACCTGCTCTTGATAAGTCAGTTCCACAAGATAACCCATTTGGTCTGAAACTTCCATAGGCAGGAAGAAGATTCTAGAACTCCTTTTTTGAGCCCCTTTTCTAATGCACATCCTGGGAGGCAGCAGGTGCTGGTTCAGGTACACGGGTCCCCACCTCCCACAGAGCAGACCTGGACTGAGGTCTGGGCTCCTGACTTTGGCCTGGCCCAGCTCTGGCTGTTGCAGGAATCTGGGGAGTGAACCAGCAGATTCTGTCTTTTAAATACGGTGAAAATAAATAACAAAAAAGCAACAACACAGGCCTGGGCGTCCGTTAGCTAGAGCAGGGCAGATACAAAGGATACCCAAGGCAGAGGAAGACCCCACCAGTGTCTGGGGACTGGCTGGGCCATATAGTCAGGGGAGGTGAGAGCCCCTCATGGGACCCCCGAACCCACACTGCATCCTGTCAGCTCCAGCAGGATTCAGAGAGATTCTTCTAGTCTTGAGAAGCCCAAGTCTGGGTCTTACTTTGAAATCTGTACATTTTAAAATGTAGGCAAATGAGCCAGAGGGCCGGACTCAGCTCATGGGTCAGTGGGGACAGCCTCTACCTACAGTCAGTGGGGCTGGACCAATTTGACCCTGGGATGGTCCTGGATACAAGTGTAGGCTGGCACCCTCAATAGCACAAACCATGTGAATCACCCATCACTGTCCAAAGTTCTGCCACCAGCCCAGATGCCCCCTCCCACCCTCTCCTGCTTTCACTGTGGTTCAGAGAAACCTTCTGGGACGCGGGTTGGCTGCGGGTGGTAGGGGAGGAGAGAGATACTCACAGACTCCTGACTGCAGGGTCAAGACCACAACCAGAGGGCTGATGGCGAGGTGCAGACAGTTGAGGGGTCGTTTCCAGTTCTTATCATCCTTGTCTGGGTCCACCACGGGGACGGTGAGAAGCAGCAGGAACTCCACGGGCAGCTGGCAGATGGGCAGAGGCAGAAGTTGGCATCAGCAGAGAGACCTGTGACCCCATGGCCAGGGTTGGACCTTGGTGACTTCATGGGCAAGGCCATTGTTGGCCAAGTGTGATTGAGGGCCAGCCAACTGGGGGAATGGACAGCTGGGGTAAAACCCATTTCTGCCTGCCCCTCCACCTTATGTCATTAGCCAGTGTCTACTTTCCTGTAGGCTAAGCACCCACACACAGCCCTTCACACCACCATCACCATTGCCAGTTCTTCCATCCCCTCCCATAACTGAACCCACACCCACACACTCTGCCGAGTGGCCAGGGTCTGCAGAACTTACTTGTCCCATGAATGCCAGGCTTGGCTAGACATCCGCCCCTGGTCAATCTAATGTCTACAGAGGCATTGAATGTGCCTGGAGAGCCAGCCTTGGCCTCTTCCACTAAGAACCTGCCCAGAGGCTCACTGACCCCAGAATGAGATCCAGGGCAGCCCTGATTGCTCTCCACTGCAGAATTACCTCAGCCCAGCCACAGCAAGTCAAGGAGATCGGGGTGGAGGGTAGGGGAGTGGTGGGGTATTAGTACACAGCACGGCCACAGCAGGCAATTCCTAAGAACACCACTCCGGGGAAAGGCAGGATCATACGTTCCTTTCCACAGGAGGGAAATGGACTGAGAGAGGCCAGAGGCCTTGCTCAAGGATGCAGCCAGAGCGACAGCAGCTGCAGATGCACTTACAATCTGCCGCTGGCACCAAGAAGCTGAGCTGAGTCCACGCTGAAGGTCTCAGGCTCACCTCCAGGAAGATTAACAGGGCTGCGGGCTGGGGCCCCGGCTGAGGCCAGCAGCGGTCACAGAAACTCAACCAAGCTCTCACCACGACTGTATCTGCAACCCCACCAGCTGGTTCCTTCCACCCTGGCCCTGGGCAGACCCTTTCCTCTGTGCAGAGCTGAGAGCCCCAGGCCAGGCCGTCAGTGACCCGGTCACACAGACACACACACATGTGAACACACAGGTACAGAGACATGCCTGTGCACAGCCATATGGACATGCATGCAGACACAGAGACACACACAGATACACACAGAGATACACAGGCACCCACACACGTGCGTGTACACATACACACACACCTCTGCCTACCTTCAGCACCTTGAGGGCCCTCCAGGATGCCGACTTACTTCTCCACTTCCTGGAGTCCAAAGGGTTGAGGGCCCTGGCCAGGATCTCAGCCGTGGTCTCCTGGGAGAGCAGCGGCCGGTACTCGTCCCCTGTTAGCGGGGGACGAAGCAGGGACAGCTGTGGCACTTCCCTCTCCCCACCCCAGTCCTCCCAAGCCTGGGGAAAGAGTACAAGCCCAGCGCTCCAAACTTCGCTTCCGGGTCCAGACTTCAGATTTCCCATCCCCCCTGCCTCAGCTGGCCAGGCCTCACCATAGTCATAGCTGTTGGTGTTGGAAGAGACCAAGTCGTCTTCAGACTCTGAGAGCATCTCTGGAAGAGACGGGGTGAGCTGAGTGTGAGCTGGGAGCCGAGACCTGCCCTGGAAACATCCAGGGACAGGGCAGTGTCGGGTGTGAGTGTGCAGGCCGCTTGGCATTCTGGGTTTCTTAGCAATCCTCACGCATGTGCAGTAAATCTCTGTTGCTCTTTTAAAACATTTAGCCGTGTATTTAAGAGGCACAGCCAGAGCGAGAGAGGGAGAGACCAATCTACCATTAGTAGTTCACTCCTCAAATGACCACAGTGGCTGGGGCTGTGCTGAGCTCCATCCAGGTTTGCCACGTGGGTGCAGGGGCCCAAGTCTTGGGCTATTCTTCACTACTTTCCCAGGCACATAGGCAGGGAGCTGGAAGGGAAGTGGAGTAGCTGGGACTCTAACTGCTCTGACGTGGGATGCCGGCGTGGTGGGCAGTGGCCCAACGCACTGTGCCATCCTGGGGCCGGACTTGGGGAGTTCCGTGCAGAGAGCCTAACTCACAGCAGTTCTAGGGACACAGCTAGTGCAGTTTACGTCATTGGGGCTCTTGGAGATGCCTGATGCCAGAGTGTTTCACCCTCTGGAGACTTTTCTTCAGGAATCTGTGCAGCCTTGCCACCTGTTGCAAGTGGCCAGGAGAAAACGGGCCTTTCTGGAGTCAGGAGTCACTTGCGCTCTGACTCTGCCACTGTGTGACCCAGGGCCACTCTCCAGGCCTCATGGCCTCCCATCTGAAGGGCTGCTATGGATGTGAGTGCTGAAATAGCAGAAGCTCACTTGACAAAGACAAGAGGGGAGGAAAAATCAAGGCAGACTTCTTGGAGGAAGAGTCGCTGGCACTTGCTCCAAGCCAGTCCTTAGAGACATGGAAGGACTGAGTTACTATCTTGCTCTTTGGCATATCCTAGTCTAATTACAGAAGCGTTCCTTGGATCCCGGTGGGACCTCTGGCACAGTGGGTAGGGAAGTGGCCTTTTGGCCCTGCCCTTCCCTCCTCTTGCAGCTTCCCAACCTGGGGAAGACTTGAACTCCAAAGTATGTTCTCATAAAACACAGGTGCCTCAAAGAAGTGCCAGTGAGAGGAAGGAATCAAGTGTTGGAGGAGCCTTACCTGGAGTCCCCGGCGAGGAGCAGACCAAGGATCTCGCCCGCTGCCACTGGTAGATCCAGGTGCATAGGATGACGGTGACCACGTAGAACACATACAGCCCCAGGTAACCTACAGACAGGTGCAGGCTGTCACCACGGGGACCAGGCTGGCAGCAGGGAACTGGCCAGCTCCTGGGCCCGCCCCCTCCTGCCCACCTGCTGAGCTGGGCCCATCTCTCCTTCCTTCACCATCTGCCTGAATGAGAGGACAGCCTCCAGGATAAGGGCAGCTGGTAGTCTCATTCTATGTCTTATGTCTCGGGGGCCTGAGCCCCCACAGGATACCGCAACTGTGAGCTCAGTCAGTGGAGGCCCAACAGTAGCGGCAGCGGCCGCAGCTGCCATTCAGGGTGTTTCTCTGGGTACTTTCTGTGGGCTCCTTCAGTGTCCCTTACCATCTTCCTGACCCTCTGCACATAGCATCCCTCTGTGCATGTCCCCGGAGGTGGCTGACCTGCTGGGCACATGGCAAACCAGGGACATGGGCCACCCTGCCACCCCAGCTCCCTGGTGTGGTGCCCCACGTTCCCTGATTACTGCAAGCTTCAGGAGGTTTCTGTAGCTGGACTCAGACCCAACTCTCAGGTCCCCCCACTCACAGCCCTCTGTCCCTAGCCATCTCCTGGACTCCGCACCCATAGGCCCTATCAGGCCGGCTCACCGAGGGCCCACGCTAGCGTGATCCTGCCGAAGTAGAGGGCGGTGAAGGTCAGGAACACGGCAGTCATGTAGAAGGACACGTCCCGGAGGAAGGGCCTGGAGGCAGCTGTAAAGGGGTGCAGGATGGCGATACCTCCGGCCACCACGGTGGTGACCAACACGCCAGCACCTGCAGGAGACATGCCATGCTCAGCTGCCCCACTGCAGCCTGTCTTTCCCCACAACTGCTAGGGCCACAGCCTCACCGAACAGTGCCCCAATAGCCAGGCCGGCGGTGCGCGAGTCCGAGAAAGCCACCAGTGCACTGAAGATGTCAGGTGCACCGTTTCCAAAGGCCAGGAAGGTGACGCCATGGAGGGAGGGATGGTCAAGGAAGGACACAGTTGGGGAGGCCTAGGGGAAAGCCCCAGTCCCTCCCCACCCTCACCCCACCAGCGAGGCGAACCCCGGAGCCCAAGGATACTGCCACGTTGTGGGAGAGCTGGAGCGTGCTGGAAATGGCCGACAAGTTGGGACAGAAGCTGAAGATAAAAGGCAAATGTCAGAACTCCCACGGCACCCCGCCCCTGCCTTCCCCCCACCTCAGCCTCCTGGGACACCCACTTCCCACCTGCCCACAAGCCCAACTCACAACTTGGCAGCTGTGACCCCCAGGATCAAAAACAGGTAGAGTAGCCAGAACACCTGAGACGGGAGAGCCACGCACAGTGGGAGGGTCACGTCCAGGCAGGGGCTCCTGCCCCCCACCAGTTCCCCCTCCCACAGCCCACCCTCTCCCCTGGGGCAGGGCCTCACATAGAGGGTGATGGCCAGCGGGAGGAGGTTGGGGTGGAAGTGGCAGAAAGCTCCTTCAAGGTAGTCCAGGTAGCCGCCGTCGCTGCGGCAGTCAGGGTTGCTCCGGACGAAGTTGCAGCGGTCAGAGACGTTTAGGCTACATACACTGCGACACTGGAGCAAGGAGGAGTGGGGGGTGGGAAGGAAGGGGCAGGCCCCTCTAAGCACAAAGCTGTCACCTCCCCTCCTCAGCCCAGATGCCAACCTTGCCCTTCTAGCTTTCCAAGTAAAATGAGGAGGGCTGCTGTGGGTGGATAGCTGTTTAAGGCACTGCTTGGGACACCATATCCCACATCAAGCCCCAGCTGCTCCGCTTGTCATCCGGCTCCCTGCTAATGCACCTATGGGCCCCTGTCATCCACATGGGATACCCAAGCACTCCAACATGGGATGCAAGCAGCCCGAGCAGCATCTCAAACACTGTGCCAGCTGTTTGCCTCTCATTTTTTAAGGCTTATTTATTATCTATTTATTTCATTTGAAAGGAGGAGTTACAGAGCAAGGCAGAGACAAAGAAAAAGATCCACATGGGTGCCACAGCTGAGGCCGAAGCCAGAGGCCAGGGACTCCATCTGGGTCTCCCACGTGGGTGCAGCGGTCCAAGCACTTGGGCCATCTTCTACTGCCTTCCCAGGCACGTTAACGGGGAGCTGAATCGTAAGCTGAGCACAGGGGACTCGAACCAGCACCCACAAGGGATGCTGGCATTCCAGGTGGCTGTTTTACCCACCACACCACAGTGCCAGTGCCTGCCCCTCATGTTTCTAGACCAGCAACAATGACCATCCTTGTGTATGACTCTGGAGATGGGAGAAGACTCAGCTGGAGAGAATTCTAGAAGTGAAAGTGCGGAGTCAGGATACCCTTGCCCCAGTTCATCCCAACACCGGCAGAGTAGCAGAATCTGCGTGTACATCGTAGTGTCTCTGGCAGGTGGAAGGGACACAGAAGACAGGGAGAGGAGGCCAGCGATGAGCAGACGGCCGCAAAACCTGCGCTGATCCGAGGGCTACTGGAGCCCAATTCAGGGGCCAGGCAGCAGAAGCCTTCGTATCCTAACTCCCACCAGCCATGGAGTGCCAACTGCCATGGCGGAGACATTCTTTCCAGCCTTCTGTGCTTACGGTTGGTTCTGGAAAAGCGCACGAAGCCAAGAGAAGCCTATAAGGAAGGCAGGCTCCATGGCAGGGCCGGGGCCTGACAGTGCAAGATGCAGAGGGACAAGCACCTTTTTCACTGAATGACTAAAAACAAAGAACAATCTGTTTTAGACACAATGATTGCATCCACTGGGTCACTCTCCAAATGCCGCTGCAATGGGAGCCAAGGAATGTCAGCTCTCCCACACGGGCGGCGGGGAGACCTAGGTACTTGAGACCTCCCCCGATCCCCCCCCCGGGGGGGGCCAGCAAGAAGAGCAAGCTAGCTGGACTCAGGTGGCAGAGCCGGACACACTGCCATGGGACACGGGCCTCGTACCATGCACTCCGGGGGAATATCTTAAACACGGATGGGTGTGGCCCACATCACCCTCCAAAACGCTACCCTTGAATGCCTGCTGGGAGATCAGGGCCCAGCAGTGCCTGCACTTGGTCGAGGCTGACTCTCGGAAGCCTGACTCAGACCTGGCCAGTCTGTAATGACTCAGCAACTGAGTGCCCTTGCCACATGTTCGGGCCGTTCGAGTTCCTTCTTGGCAGTTTCTGCAGCTGAAAAGTTTGCTTTTTTATATTTGAGGCTACATCAGCACTCTTGTGATTGCCCTGGGAAATGTCCTCTGCCTGCAAACTTCCTCTTTTCCTCTGTCCATCAGCTTTAATCAGTCCCACCCCATGTCCACTACAATGGTGACAACCAAAAATAAACAGAAAACAAATGTTGATGAGGCGGCCTGGCACGCTGGTTAAGGCCTCCAACTGTGGTAGCAGCATCCCATATGGGCATCAGCTGGAGTCCTGGCTACTTTCCTGCCCACCCAGCTCCCTGCTAATGCACCTGGGAAAGCTGTGAAAGATGGCCCACGTGCCTGGGTCTCAGTCACCCACCTGGGAGACCCTGACGGAGTTCCAGGCTCCTGGCTTTGGCCACTGCAACCACCTAGGGAGTGAACCAATCAATGGAAGCGCTCTCTATCTCCTACAGCTGTACATGTCAAATAATTTTTTTTTTTTAAGAAAAAGAAGAAATTGAAAGTCTTATGCACTGTTTGCTGTAGTGTAAAAACAGGTGGCCGAGCTTTGGCAGCAAGTGTCTGGATGAATACGTGCAGTGGGGTGAACTCTGTCAGCCAGTGGACTTTGGAAGGATTTTCTCAACCTTAGAGCAGGGAAACCAACAGCATCTTGGAGCTACCGAACCACTCAAGTCATACCCTCGCAGCATTCTTGTCCGCATCGGGATTTCTAAGATGACATCAAGTGGCCATCCCCCATCCCTGGGTACTGATGCAGTCTGGCAGCCAGGGGCAGCCCCCTCCCTCTCCCTCCCCCCTGCCCTAGGTACCCGAGAAAGGGAAGAAAAGGAACACTGGAAGGTTAGTCCCACCCCTTCCCCGACCTCAACCCTCCCCACTCCACTCAGCGGCCCTGCATTCTTGTCAACTGTGTAAACAACATCAAAAACAAAATGAAATTTTAAAACATGGGGTGATCACTGTGGAAAACAGTTCCTCAAAGCGAAGGCCCAACCATTCTCCTTCTGGGTTTACGCCCACAGGAATTGAGAAGGGTCTTGGAGATTCTGGACACCCGTGTTCACAGCTGGCAGCATCATTCACACACAGAGATGGGGCAGTAACCCAGATGTCTGGAGATGGATAAACCAAATCCGAGCTCTCCAGGCTCTAGGAACAGGATGCTGGGGCTCATGCAACGGCCCCGTTGGCTAATCCTTTGCTGCAAGCACTGCAACTCCCTATGGGTTCGTGTCCTGGCTGCTTCACTTCCCTTCCAGCTCCCTGCTTGTGGCCTGGGAAAGTAGTGGAAGATGGCCCAAAGACCTGGGCCCCTTCGCCTATGTGGGAGACCCAGAAGAATCTCCCGGCTCCTGGCTTCAGATCAGCTCACTTCTGGCCATGGTGGCCATTTGGGGAGTGAACCAGCAGGTGGAAGTTCTTTCTCTTTGTTTTTCCTCCTTTCTGTAAGTTTGCCTTTCCAACAAAAATAAATAAATCTCAAAAATGAAAGAATGTTGACAGGTAACAGGATGCGTTTTTAAAATCACCAGGAACATACAAAAGTGCAATCATTAGAAAAAAACAGGAAGGAAATTCTGGCGTCCGTTACAGCATGAACCAACCTCGGAGACATCATGTAAGACAAATGGGCAGGACACAGACCGAGGAACGCTGCGTGACTCCACTTCCGAGAGGTGGCCGACACACGCTAGCTCAGATAGACTAAGGCGAGGGGTTGGTGGGGCTGGCGGGGCTGGCAGCAGGCACTGGAAGCCTCTGGGGGCTCTAGCTTAGTTTACAGAGGTAGAGGTGTCTGGAGCCACGTGGGATGCTGGTTGCATGATAGTCTGCCATGCTCTGTGGTGCTGGACTACACAGGGAACACAGTTAGAAAGGAACCTGGAGACAGATGGGCCAACCAGGCTGGTCTGATCTGTTCTCATCCCGCCAGGAACACGCACGACGACTCCGAGTCAATAACAACGGGTACATTCATGACAGAGCACGGGAGCCGCCCCTTGAGATACCCAGAGACCCCGTCTGAGCATCCGGTTCAAGTCCCAGCTCTGCTTCCAATCCACATTGCAGCAGAAGGGCCTGGGAGGCAGCAGAGATGCTGCAGCTGCCATCCACGTGGGAGACCAGGAGGAATTTCTAGATCCTGGCTTGTATGTGTATGAGTGGTGGGGGGAGGGGTTAAGCCACCAGTCACATGCACACAGGTTCAAGTCCCAGCTACTCTACTTCCGATCCATCTCGTAGCTGAGGTGCCTGGGAAAGCACTGGAGGATGGTCCAAATTCCTGACATTGGCTTGGCCCAGGCCTGGCTGTTGCAGCCGCTTCAGGATTAAGCCAGCAAATGGAAAAGCTCTCCCTCTCTCTTTCTCTCTCTCTCTCTCAACTCTGCCTCTCACATAAAAATAAATAAATCTGAAAAACAAAGCAAACAAATGAAACAACAGCAGCGGGTAAACCAGAGGTCAGATAACTTCAGCCCAGGATTGCCAGAGCAAGCCCGATCTGGTTTTATGTTTTTAAATGACTACAGAACAGAAATCAAGAAACCCATCTCACCACAAGTAAACTTACAGGAAACTCACGTCCCATGCAGACAAACATGAACTGGCTGCAGCCCACACCTGCTTACCCACATGCCTCGGTGGCTGCCGGAGCAGAGCCAGCACATACCCTGGTGGCGGCCGAAGCTCGTGCTGTGAGCGCCCCGGCCCTTCTCCTCCAGTAACGCCCCCTCACAGGCGACACAGACCCAGGGCCCAGGCTGCTAGCGGTGACCCCTGCCCTCTGGCTCCAGCCTCCCACCTAAACCACAGGCCTGTGGCTTTGTGACAGCCTGGGGCTTTCCCAGGGAGACAAGCTCCTTCCACAAGGGAATGCCTGGGAGAAGGCTCTGTGCAGCCCTGTCGGGGAGGACCTGGAATGGGAACCGGGAAATCAGGCGGGGCTGCCCCACCACTTGCCCCTCTGGGAAGGGTAACCGTACTGGGCAACTAGCTCTCTGCTCAGAATCCACATGTAAACCCACATCCACGAGTGAACCTGACCAAGGGAATCAGCCTCCCTCCCCTGTTTCCTCTCTGAACAGAGAGGTCAGCCCCGTGTAGAGAAGGCCCCGTGGTGAAGGAGCACGGGCAGCTGGGATCAGAAAGGCCGAGTTCCAGGTTTGACTCCACTCCTAACTCAGCTTCCTGCTGCTGCACACCCAGGAGGCCGCGGGTGATGGACCAAGTCCTCAAGTCCCCATCCTCCACACGGGGCACCTGAAATGAGTCCCTGGCTCCTGGCTTTGACATGGTCCAGCTCCGGTTGTGCTGCTTAGAGAGCAAATCAAACATTGGGAGTCTCTATCTCTCTCTGCCTTTTAAAGGAATGAAATGAGTCTATTTAAAAAGAGTCACGTAGGGCCCAGCACAGTAAGTTACTGGCTAAAGTCCTTGCCTTGCACACACCAGGATCCCATATGGGCACTTGTTCTAATCCTGGCAACCCTGCTTCCCATACAGCTCCCTGCTAGCGTGCCTGGGAAAGCAGTGGAGGACAGCCCAAGTCCTCGGGTCCCTGTCCCAATATGGGAGACCTGGAAGAAGCTCCTGACTTCTGGTTCTGCCTCTGGCTGTTGTGGCCATTTGGGGAATGAACCAACACACAGAAGCACTCTCTCTCTCTCTGTAACTCTTCTAAATAAATCAATCTTAACAATACAATCTCTTCAGAGTTCAAGTCTTCACCTTGCATGAGCTGGGATCCCATGAGGGCTCTGGTTCGTGTCCCAGTTGCTTCAGTTCCCAGCCAGCTCTGTACTTGTGGCCTGGGAAAGCAATAGAAGACAGCCCAAAGCCTTGGGACCCTGCACCAGTGTGAGACCCAGAGGAAGCTCCTGGCTTTGGATCGGCACAGCTCTGGCCATTGTGGCCACTTGGGGAGTGAATCAATGGATGGAAGATCTTCCTCTCTGTCCTTTTCTCTGTAAATCTGACTTTCCAATAAAAATAAATCTTTTAAAAAAAATTTCCTCTGAGAAGCTCCCCTGGCAGGCCCAGGGAGAGAGTCCCTGCTTCTCATCTCCATTTCTCTCTCTCTCTCTCTCACACACACATCCAATCCTGTCCTCTACTTGACTGCTCACCATGCCAGACCATCTTGTGCCCACTGCCTTCCCCTCTGTGACCCTCACTGCATGCAAATGCCGCGAGGACAGGGACCGTGTCTGTGGTATCCCTGCCACACCCAGCACGTGGCACACAGCAGGGGTTCACGTATCTGTCAAACACGTGACGGCTCAAACAGGGCCTCTGAGACAGGTAGGTAGCCCGGCCCAGCCCGCAGCCACGCAGTGGCCAGCAGCCAGGCCTCAGGAAGGGCGGTGTGTGTGTGTGTGACTCGGGAGGCGAGGCCTGGAGATGACAGGTCTAGACTCGGCACAAAGTGGTCATGAGTCCACACCATGGCATCGCCACTTCCCTCTTGGTCACTTTCACCTGCCAGGACCTCAGCGTCCCCGTCTGTAGCACAGAGGGAAAAATCACACACACTCCCTCAACCTGGGGCTTATGGGAGAGGTAGTGGTAGCACTTGGCACAAGCCCAGCCTACGGTGCTGGAGAACTGGGAGGGATGATCTGGCCTAGGCCACAGCTGACCCGGCAGCTAACTGTGCAATTGCTACAAACCGCTTTCCCATCTGTGAAATGGGTTCAGGTGCCTCACTGCCCATTTGCCTGCCTGTTCCTGAAGACTGCCACCAGGGGCCGCAGAGGCCCTGCCCTCCCAGCCCATGCGCACAGCTAGTGGTTCTTGCTTTAGCAAACATATGGCAAGAGTTGGCAGCATCCAGAGAAGGCAGGCAGACAGGGGGGGTAGATCTTACCTACCCTTGGGCTCGCTCCCCTGCAGCTGGCATCAGAGACCTGTGCCCGCCCCTCCCTGCTGGGAGAGGAAGTCCTCCGCACCCCCTGACTGCTTCAGCAGCCCAGAGCCCCAGACCCTCGCTCCCCAAGAGCCTCTTGGGACACGCCTCTCTTCCTCTCTCCCTTTCACGTGCCGCTGTGGCCCCACTTGCTGTGCCCAACACTCACTCAAAATCCTCTCCCTTCCTGCCCACCATCTGCACCCATCCCTGCTTGCCAGGGGCTGCAGGAGCCCCTCCCTTGGACCTCCTTTCACTGCAAACTGCTCACTGACCACCTCCTGTTGTGAAATGACCCTCACCCCTGACAATGGGTATCCCTGGGCTGCTCCAACCCAGTCCCGGCGCACTCATTAACCACTCGGGGACGGAATACAGGCAAAGTCCTGCCCTGCCCAGCGTCCTGCCCAGCGTCCTGCCTGCGTACTTACGTCTGCCATGGGGGCCTGGTTCACACCTGAGACATGGACCTGGGGGCGAACAGGAGTCCCCAGAGACAGGCCCCCGGACCCAGACACCGTCTCCACCAGCAACAGGACCCAGAGCAGGTGAGACCATCTGCCAGCCATCAGCACACGGGGCCTGGCCGCCCTGGCTGCTTCCCCTCCTGCGGGCATTCTGGTCACAGGGTCAGCAGCTCCAGGGACCTGCAGGATAACAGCGAGAAGGGGGGGGGTGCCATGTCAGCAGGGGGCGCCCAGAATCTTCTGCAGCTGAGGAACTGCCCTGCCATGCCCATCAAGCAAAGGGCAAAGGGAACCCACATTCAGGGGCCAGGAGTGAGCAAGGCTGCCACCACCTGTGGCACCAGCATTGCACCTGGGCACAAGTCCATATCCCAGCTGCTCTGCTTCCCATCCAGCTCCCTGCCTGTGGGAAAGCAGCAGAGGACGGCCCAAAGCCTTGGGACTCTGCCCCATGTGGGAGACCCGGAAGAAAACTCCTGGCTCCTGGCTTCAGATCGGCTCACCTCTGGCTGCTACAACCATCTTGGGAATGAACCAGCAAATGAAAGATTTTTCTGTCTTTCCTTCTCTCTGTAAATCTGATCTACTTTCCAATAAAAATACATTCTTGGCCCGGCATTATAGCCTAGTGGTTATAAAGTCCTCACCTTGCATGCACCAAGATCCCATATGGACACCAGTTCTAATCCCGGCAGCCCTGCTTTCCATCCAGCTCCCCGCTTGTGGCCTGGGAAAGCAGTCAAGGATGGTTCAAAGCCTTGGCATCCTGTACCTGCGTGGGAGACCCTAAAAGTCTCTTGGCTCCTGGTGTCGGATTGGCTCAGCTCCAGCTGTTGTGGCCACTTGGGGAATAAATCAGTGGACAGAAGATCTTCTTCTGTCTCTCCTCCTTTCTGTATATCTGAGTTTCCAATAAAAATAAAATAAAAAGAAATCTTAAAAAAGAAAAAAAAGGAGGGGGGACTGTGCTGAATGCCAGCCCAGCTCACCCTGTGCAATGGCGTGTACTACCAAAGGCAGGTGTCCCTATCATGATCTCACTTGCCCCTCCCCAGCATGCCAACAGAAGTTATTATGAATAGTCCCATTGTACAGATGCACACACTGAGTCCTGCTCCTCCCTCACCATCACTGCCTTCCCTCTCCTCCTGCAGCTCTCAGCACGGGTCTGGAGATGGGTGCAGCCCCATGCCTTGGAACCCAGAGACCCTGGGACTCAGAGAAGTCACACAACACAGAGACCCACTGATGGAGAAACAGCAGCCCAGGGGGAAGTGCGTTGCACAAGGCTGCTGTGTCCGTTAGCAACACCAACGGGCTGGACCCGGTATCCGCCTCTTCCCTCCAGCCCGGCGGGGGGGGGGGGGCCCTCAGTTACCCCCCCCCCCAAGAAGCTAACCAGAAAACAAAACAAATAAAAATCTGGGCAAAATCACTCTCTCCTGCTGATTTTCCCCCCACACATGTTCTCCAAAGGGTGTGTTTTGTTTTTGCAAGCAGGATGGACAGAGCCCAGGAGAAGTTGTTTTCCTGGTGCTGTGTGCAATGCCTGGCAGGGAGGAGGAGGAAAAAAGGGTGTGTCCCGCCCCAGACCTCACCTGTGGGTGCCAAACAGTTCTTCCCTCGGCCACGGTGCGCCAGGACGATGATTCCACTGGGCGCCCCTGGCCACAGGACGGGTTTTGGGGTCGTCAGTTCCCCGCTCTGAGCCTGTGATTCTCCATCTGTCAAGCGAACACGTGAGCTGGCACAGGGTCCTCACAGTAGGAGCCCTTGGGAAGCGCAAGTGCCTGGCGCCTCTACCTGGCCGCAGGTGCTCTCGGCGCGCGCCCCAAAGGAGCACTTCCGAGCACCCAGAGGGCCTGCACATCTGACAGGAAGAATGGGCTACCGCCTAGAAGTCGGGGGGCCTCGATTTCCCAGCCCGGTGTGTACTGAGAAGTTCAACCACGCTGCCTGGGCCCTCCCGGGCGACCCTGCAGGTGCAGGCGCTCCTCTCACCTCAGCCCTGGGCGTGGATCCCGCACACTCCTCACGGCGGCCGCGTAGGGTCCTGCCCGCCTTCCCCGGGGCCCTGCCCGCCGGTCCGCGCCGTCACACCCCGAGCTCCGCAGCCGCTGGCCCCGCAGCCCCGCCCGAGGCCGCGTCCCCCGCTCTCGCCCCCGCCAGTCCACCGGGGCCGCTGCTCGCTCCGCCCTGGAGCACTCACGCCCCGGGGCACGCCCCCAGGGTCGGCACTCACCCAATCACGTCCAAGGACACGCCCCCCAGGAGGCAGGCCTCCCATGCAGCCACGCCCCCGGGACACGCCCCCAAAGGCTCACCGGGCTCTGGCCCTTAAAGGCACAAACCTCGCGTCCTGAGGTCCCTGGCCTGTAGCTTCAAAGACAGAAGCTGGCAGGTAAATGCAGCGAAGATGGTGAAACTGTGAGGCTCCACTCCTGAGTGGGCAAGAAGTGCCAAACTACCAGGTAATGAGCCGTGATAAGGGGTAGGGAGGGCCCCACCCCTCCCAGCAAGCAAGGGGCTGCACTGGGCTCCAGCTGGGCCAGGTCCAAGCCAACAACCTGGAACCATCAGGCCCATCTTCTGCTGCTTTTCTAGGTGCGTTAGCAGGAAGCTGGAAGGGAAGTGGAACAGCTAGGACTTGAACCAGTGTCCCTATGGGGCTCGGATGTTGCAGCTCATGGCTTAACTCAGATACCACAACCCTGGCCATCAGTGTTGCTTTTAAAAAGCAGCATGTGGCCAAGTGGCGAAGACTGACGGGCACAACCACCCGGGGCCTGGCAGGCTCCTGTTGTTCTGGGTCGTCCCCTGGCACCAGTCTTCCCTTCCCTGGGCCCCTCTTGCGGGCACGCCTTGCACACACCTCTCTGATGTTGTCTCAGCTCTGGGGAGGCTGCCACAGCCCCCCCAGCTGACCGGCTCCCAGGGGGCCAGAGCCCCGCACAGCAGCCACTGCCTGGAGTCTTGCACCTTCCTGCTCCGTATTTTCTGAGGAGCCCCCTGGGGTCAGAGCATGGAGGACCTTTCTGTAGGACACTGGGGCCTGTGAAATGGGGCTGGAGACACTTCCCCTCTGTGGGGCTCTTGAGGGATGGCATTGCATGAAAAGCTGCAAACCTAGTGCCTGGCGTGGGGCACCCCACCTCCCACCCGGCAAACTGTGAGTTAGCCCATTCGACGTCTCCCACGCGGGTGCAGGGTCCCAAGGCTTTGGGCCGTCCTTGACTGCTCTCCCAGGCCACAAGCAGGAAGCTGGATGGGAAGTGGGGCTTCCAGGATATAAGCAGGCACCCATATGCGATTCCTGTGTGTGCAAGGCCAGGACCTTAGCCACTAGGCTACCACACCAGACCTTAATAAATCTTTAAAAAGAAGAAACAAAGTGAGCTTGCGTGTTTTCCCAGGAATTGTGCATCCACGGTTCTCCTCGCCCGTCTTGTCTCCTGGAGTCAGATCCCCTCTCTGGCGTTCCTGCCATTTCACACGGGGGGAACTCAAGCGTTGCATGTTGTCAACCATTCTCTTCTTCTGACTTTGCTCATGGAGTTTGTGAAAGACAGCAAGGGCTGCCCCAGGCTCCCACTCTTATGGCCTGGGAACGTGTCAGAGCCCGTTCCACCCACACGTCACAAAGGGATTCACTGAGTTCTAGGATGATGGCTGTGGTCTGCTTATGCCTGCACCCGAGGTAGGGCAGGTGGACGCCGAAGTTATTCATTAAAAATTAATGATTGAATTGGAAAGGCTGAGACGGAGAGTGCTCGTACCTGCTGGTTCACCCCCCCAGTGCCCACCAGCGCTGGGGCTGGGCCAGGCTACAGCCGGAAAACAGGTCTCCCATGGGGTGGCAGGGACCCAAGGCCTTGAGCATTACTGGTGCTTCCAAGGGTGGGTGTTAGCTGGCAGCTTTCTGAGAGGGGATGAGGGGTGTGAGCCACGGTGCGAAATGCGCAGCCCCACAGGAAGATTTTAGATCTAAAGGAAGGGCCTTTGAGAGACAGGCGACAGGCGTAGGAACTGTCATAAAGAGGCTGGGTTAAATAACAGCATGTTGAGGGGCGACCTCCCTGGGGGTGGCACCCTGGCTGTATTCTTCCCTCCACACCAGATCACGCATGCACGCGCTGCTTCTGCCGGGTTCTGTCCTTCCTCTAGGTGCGTGCGTCCCCCACGCACGTTAAATCCGCGGAGGACCACCTGTGCTGATGGCGGGCTTCACCATACAGCATGATTCCGTAAGACACTTAAATAATTCAGCCAATGCCAGCTAAAATGACAAAATATCTGCAATCCCTGGCGGCTGTGTGGGTAGTGACTGTTTCTGCAACTTTTCCTCAGGGTTTGGACACTTCCAAAGTTTGTCAGGGACATGTGCTTTGTGGGTACACAGGGACGCAGGGCCCTTTAAGGTGTGCCCCGCCCCTTATGTTCGTCTCCACCCTCCCTCCCGAGGGCCACGCCCACCCCGGAAGCGCTCGAGCTCAGGTCCCACCCCCAGAGCGGAGGGGCGCACAGTCACGTGACCCAGGTTGCGGTGTTGCTGTCACGTGACCCAGGCTGCAGCGCGCCGGTCACGCTGTCATGGCGGCGCCGAGGGATGTCTCTGCCGGCTGCCGCCTGGCCCGGGTGCTGACGCGGGCGCTGGCCCTGGTGCTGGCCCTCCCGACCGGGCTGTTCCTGAGCGGCCCTGCGGGCGCGATCCCATTGCGGGGAGACGGAGAGGAGCATGGTCGGTCGGCCCCATCCGGCTCCCGCTGCCGCTCTGTGCTCGTGGATGCCGAGTCGGGCCAGCTGCGCCTGGTGGACGGCCGCCACCCCGACGCCGTGGCCTGGGCCAACCTCACCAACGCCATCCACGAGACCGGGTGAGGGTTGGCCTGCTCTCCCTCTCCCCGCGCGGGGTCCATTCTTTCACCCCGAGGCTGCAGCAGAGCCGTGGACCAGGTCCCTGGTTGGGGTGAGGGGGACAGGAGAGACAGAGGGGACCCCTGGAGCCTCCTCCCTCCCGTCCTTTCCCTTGCTCTAAGCCGTGATGTCATCCCCCCGCCCCGGGTCGCAGTGCCTGCCTCTGCAAGCGAGGCAGTCCCCCCAGCCTTCACCCCAGCTCTGTGGTCTCCCTCCAAGCCAGTCTGAGAGCAGAGGGTCCCCAGCTCCACAGACACCCTATTTAGGCCTCTCCGCCTCCTTCCCTGCCCACGTCCCTGGCTGGGGAGGCTGCAGTGCCCCGTCCCGTGGCAGGCCCCAGGCTGTGCTTCTTCTGCCTTCTTTACCACTCGTGTGGGTTCTGGGTGCCTTCCCCGGCCTGCCTGGCACCTGTCTGATTCACCTTGCCAGTGCTGGCCTTAGGGGCATGGACTGGGCACATAGCACAGGGCCTGAGTCCGTAGGCGTGGGCAGAGGTCCCAGGTCAGCACTGAGCTGGGGGATGGCAGCCTGTGACCCCCCCCCCATCCTGGGCACATCCCTGTGACACATTGCTGTCATTTCCTATCTCCTGCCCCAGCAGGCATGGCCTCCTGCCTTACTGGCCTGAATGGATTCTCCTGGAATTAGGGATATACCCCAATCTAATGGTACTTGGGGGATCTCACGTGGAAGACAGGGGAGGGGCAGCGGGGGGGTGGGGAGGGACATGTTTTCTGCCCACCGAGGCGCTGGGTGGGATCAGTCTGGGAGGGCTCCCAGAGAGAGAAGGCCACAAAGAATGGCATCTGCTGACTGCTCTGCTGACTCACCCATCTGTGGTCCTGTGTCGCTGGGGCCAGCAGGCATGACACATCTCTGAGTGCCAGCGTGGGGGTGGGGGTGGGGAGTGACGGAGAACCCTAGAGAGGGCAGCAGCGTCCGTCCTTGGCTGTGTCCCCCTGCTGCGTGGTCCTCCGACCGCTCTGAGTCCTTTTCACAGAGGAGACCTCGAGGTAGGGTTTTGGTGAGGTCACAGCAAAGCCCCTGCTCCTGCCCGGCTCAGTTAGCGCAGCAAGAAGTTGGCAGCAGGGAAGGGAGCAGTTCTCCTTCATCAGAAGCGGACTTCCCTTAAGTGAGTTGGGTCGCTTCCATCTTTCTGGCCCCTTGCTGTCTGGACACCCTCCTACGCAGCTCCCACTCTCTGCTCTGACATGTCTCCCCGTGTTCCCCCGCCCCAGGTGTGCTGCAGGACGAGGCTGGATGGTGCAGGGAAAGCTGGACTGGGTTCTTAGAGAGCCCCAGCCTTGGGCTAAGGTGGAAGGCAGGCGTCTGGGGTGTCCTGCCCCTGGTCTGGAGGTGATTGTCTCATTACAGGGGCCATGGAGGCCAGAGGTTGGATCCCGTGAATTCCTGGAGTTGGGGATCCCTCCTCTTTTCTGTGACAGCCACAGATTTCACAAGTGGGGACCCCTCTGTCTCTGTTCCCTCCTCCCACCCCCGCCGAATCTTGCCTCTTCCAGCTGTGCTGTCTGGCTTGGCACAGGCCTCTCCCTGCAGTCTGGAATTGTTTTGGATTTGGTGTCCCCAGGTGACAGGTGCCTCTAGCCACAGTGTCCTGGCTCTGGCCTTGGTCCTGGGGAAAGTCCCCTCCAGCCTTCACTTTCCCCTCTGAGCTGCCTGAAATAGGTTTCTACCAAGTTGAGACAGGAAGGGAATGGAGATGAAAGGGAATTAGCACAGCAACCCACCAGCAAGCTAAAGCCCCGCCCAGGAGCAGGGATGAAAAGCCCCTGATGGAGGACGCAGGGGAGGGGCCGTCCAGCCTGGCAGCTGGGATGCCTGTGGCAAAGTGCCTGTTTCAGTGCCTGGTGCTGCTCCTGGTTCCAGCTTCTTGCCCTTGGGCACTCTGAGAGGCAACAGTGAGGGCCTAAGCTGCTGGGTCCCCACCACCCCACAGGAAACCTGGATGGAGTTTCTGCCTTCTGGCTTCGGCCTGATCCTGTTCCAGCCGAGACAGGCATTTGGGAGAAACATCTCTCTGTCAAATACCAGTAATCGTAATAATGCAAACGTTTAAGATATTTATTTGTTTGAAAACTGAGTCTGGGTGAGGCTGAAGTCAGGAGTCGGGAACTCGGTCTCCCGTGTGAGTGCAAGGAACTCAAGTCCCTGAGCGAGGACCTGTTGCTTCCCAGTTGCGTCAGCAGGGACTCGGATCTGAAGAGGAGCAGCTGGAACCAGACCCTGAGCTGTAGTAGGCGGCACTGCAGTGGCTTAACCCAGCAACCCACAACACGGCTGCTAAGCAATTTTTTGGGTGAAACTTTTTCATTAGAATGAGACAGGAGTAAGTACAGAGAAGGAGGGCATTGCACCTGGAACTGTGCCCTGCTGTTGGGGCTGGTGACCAGGTCATGTCTTTGACCCCTGGCCCTTCCTGCTTTAGTGGCCAGGAGTTTTCAACTATGATGGCCTCTGCCGAGAGGCCGTTTGATATCAGCCCCTGGAGCCAGCTGAGAGTTTGTCCCAGACCAAACTCCAGGGTGGCTTGTCGAGTTTTCAGAAAAACAGATTCGGGAAAGGAATCCAGTGCTGCCAGCTTCCTGTTGTGGCCCAGCAAGTGCATGAAAGACAGCAGAAAGCCAGTGAGTCTTTGGCCCTCTGGCCATCATCTCCTAAGAACGTGGCAGTTTGAGGACTAGAGCAGCAAGGCTTGACCTGCCAGTGAAGGGCAGGCTCCGGGAAGCGTCTCGAGCCAGAGACACCCCGGAATGCCTTGGCCTTCTGGCCTGCAACTGTGGTTCAGTGTCTCCAAGCCTTGAGGGGCACAGTGGTGAAGGTGCAGGTCTTCCTGTCTTAATGATGGGAAGGCTGAGGCTGGGAGGGCCAGGCAGTGTGGGAGGAGGCGGATTTTAGGCTTAACATCAGAGAGGTCCATCTCAGGTCCCTGCCTGGACGCTCACATGGGGGACTGTTGTCTTCATGAAAGGAGTGGTGTGCCCTCTCGGGGCTGCGGGAGGCACCTGTCTGAGTGGAGCCGGGAGCTGGAAGCAATGGAGGAGTCTCAGGCTGGGCAGGGGCTGGGGGCCGGGCACTCTAGCATTGCAGGCTGAGACACTTCAGCTTGGCACCGCCCCCCCCACCCCCCGCCCAAGATGTTGGCTGGGGCTCAGGAAGGATGCATCTGCTGAGCTGATGCCCCATTTGTCCTCCTTTCTCCGTGACGGGAGTCGGCCGCTGGTCCCTGATTTGCTGCATTGCGGTCTGGGGCAGGGAAATGGAAGTGGACGGTTTTCACTCCCCTTTCTCCTTTCTGCTCAGCTTCGAAGAAACCACATCTCTTTCGGCATTTTTGTGTATGCGTGTGATAGTACAAAAGCAATGTTTCAGGGCAAAGCCTCTAGCAAGGGCTGGTGTCCTGCACACTCATTAACCTGCTCATCCCAAATCCGAGGGTCGAGGTTCGAGCCCCGGCTCCTCCTTCTGCTGAGGTTCGAGGCCTCGGTTCCCTGCCACCCATCTGGGATACTTGGATCCAGAGCCAGGCTTCTTGCTTCAACCTGGATCAGCCCTGGCTGCTGGGGAAGCGACCTGGACCTGGTGTGTATCTTACTCTCTCCCCAACCTTGCAAAAACAGCAACAATGATTAAAAAAAAAGTGTAGTCATTTTAAACTCTCAGCAGAGATGAAAGCAATTGATGGGAATTCTTTTTAGCCAGGCCAACAGGAGTTGGTTTGTTGTCGAGGGGCAGTATACAGTTGTCCATAAAGCTCACAGAGAATTGATTTTGGTGCACTTTTTTTAAACCCATGCCAACTTTTTCCCTAGTAAGCATTTGCATGACTATTCTGACCCTGTTACGGTTCCGGGACTGGCAGCATTCTTCCCTGGGGGCAGTTGGGGAAGTGGTATTTGGGGTCCCACTCCAGCTTATGGCTCAGACCCTGCCTCCCTGCCAGGCGTGCACGTGGCCCAGGGCTGCATCAGGAGTGGAGACGGTGCCTCGGAGGAGTAGCATCCCAGGCGGCCTTTGGCTATCGGGCACCTGTCTTTCTCTTTTGCTATTGTTTGTCAAAATTTGTATTTATTGAGTTTTAATTCTCAGAAATGCAGAGAGATCTTTCACCCACTGTCACTCTGTTCTTCACCCCCAAATATCTCGAGCTAACAGCTGGGCCAGCTGAAGCCAGAAACTTGGAACTCAGGCTTGGACTCTCACAAGGGCCCGAGTATCTGGGCCGTCACCTGCAGCCTCCCAGGGCGTGCTTCAGCAAGATGCTGGAATGAGAAGCGAGTCAGAATTTGAATCCACGCCCTTATATTTCGGCTGTGGGCATCTCGCCCTTCTGGTACCTTGCAAGTGGACCCACTGGTGCCAGGTCCCCGCCCCAAACCTCATGGCTTCGGACATCCGTCACCATCCTTTGTGGACCTGGTGTGACTGAGGCTGCTCTGCTGCATGTGGTGGACCTGTAGCCTTGTCTGCCCTGTGTGCTGTCAGGTGCCCAGGAGCAATGGGCTGGCTGGGCAGCTGCTTCCCATGGCAAGGGCACAGGTGGCCTCTCCCAGGCTAACCTTACAGCTGTCATGCTCACCCACATTCTGCCAGCCCATGTGAGGCGAGCGGTGTGGCTGATGCCAGCTGAGGGCAAGGGTGGGCACTCGGTCCAAGGTGGAGGCCGTGTAGGGGTGGCAGCCTGACCAAAGTAGTCACAGAGCCCTGTGCTTTAATCTCCTGCTCTTCTGTACACAGGGCAGTATCAGCATCCACAGGGCTGGTGTTGTAGCATGCTGGGTCAAACTGCCACCTGGGACACCAGCATGCTACATCCGAGTAGCAGCAACTCCCCACTGATGCGGCTGGGCAAGCAGCAGAGGATGCGCCAAGGTCTTGGGCCCCTGCCACCCAGGTGGGAACCCTGGATGGAGTCCCTGGGTCCCGGTTTTGGCTTGGCCTGGCCCTGGCTGCTCTGGACATTTGGGGAGAGAACGAGTGGATGGAAAGCACCTCTCTGTGTGTCTGTCTTTCCCTGTCTGAAACTCTTTTGAATGAATCCATCTGTCCATCATTACCAGAAGATGCCAGTGCCCACCCTGCAGGCTGGCCAGGTGGTAACAGGAACAAAAGTGCCTGTGCCATCTGCCAGCACAGGGCACGCCTGCAGAAGGTGTACCGATGGGATGAAAGGGTGGAGAAAGGGGCAGCTTTGGGGAGGCCTGTCTAGCAGTGGCAGCCAGGATTAGAAATAGACGTGCCCTTGGTCACAGCATTTCCTCCCTTGGGAACCTAGCCCAGCAAGGACACTCGGACAGGCAGGTGGGCGCTGATGTGGGTTTCTAAGCACAGATGGCTGTGTGCCTGGCTAAGTGCCCCTGCCACTGACCTCGGACTCCCTGCTCTGCTTACAGGTGGGCCTTCCTGGAAGTGGGTACAAGCGGTGACTACAATGACAGCCTGCAGGCCTACGCCGCGGGCGTGGTGGAGGCCTCTGTATCCGAGGAGGTGAGGCCGAGAGAGGAAAGCAGGCTGCCCCCGTCCCCCAACCCAGGCTGTTCCTGGGGTACTCTGGGGGTTTAGGTGTGCATGGGCATGCCCAACCTGCCCCCTGTCTACCAGCTAGCCTGGAGGGGAAAAGCTCATGGGCGTGCTTCAAAAACTCCATGTCCACGTGATGCGTAGGAAGCCACGTGTGGTATGCTCTGTTGGGAGGCCTTGTAGTAGAGTGAACGCCAGCTGGAAGCCTAGGGTTACAGATGGCATTGGGCCTCCATCCCCTGTCGCCTCTGCCCCTTCAACGGGCCGTTAGCATTCCCTTAGGTCTGTTCACTCAACTTACACTCTAGCTCACATACCATGCTATCTGTACATTAAAATGGATTGCTGGGTTCCCAGATGTTTTCATCCAGCACCAAGAGCCCAGGGCCCCTTGGCAGTTGCCACGCCCCTTCTTCCTTCCCCCTGTGGCCTCTGGCAGCCACCCACCTGCTCCCAGTGTCCTGGCCCCTGGCAGCCACCCACCTGCTCCCGGTGTCCCTGGCTGGCTCACTCTGGTCCTTTGCATGATAGGCACACACACCATGTACCCGATGGTGCTCTGGGGCTTGCCGCCGCACACAGAGTGTTCAGTGCCACTGCTTGCTGCCTGCTGGTGGCTGGCCACGCTGTAGTCCAGCAGCAGGTGCCGACGGAGTTGCATCCTCTCCCTCTCTCTCTGCAGCTTGTTCTGCTGTAGATGTTGGCTTCCCATGCAGCACGTTTTGCTGCGATTTTCAAATCGGACCATTTCCGGAGTCAGGCTAGATCAGAAGGGGTGAGGCTCTGCGGTGACAGCCAGTGGCCATCTGCAGCGGGAGGGGCAAGTCATGGCCTGTTGGACATTGTTGTAGAGCTGAACCTGCATGCTTAGGTCCCAGGGGCCTCACCTCTTGAGTCAGCACCTCAGACATGACCCACAACACAGGCACCAAGTGTCCAGCAGCCCCAAGGTGGGGACATCATGAGTGACCAGGGCACAGGGACAGTCACATGGTAGAGCTGTGCAGCCAGGGTGTGGACCCAGCTCTGTCTGACCCTGGTTTTAGCACGTGCCTCTGTCACTGCCTCTCTGGTCTTTGGTCTTCTGGGAATGGTGGGCATGGCTTGTTCCTCCCTAACAGTGTCCCTTGGCCCCAGCCCAGATAGGCCTGTGGGAGTCTTGTAGAAGTCTCGGAAGGCTGCCTGGAAGCGGTTGTGTGCTCATGTGTGGGGCCTTTGAGGGATGGGCAGGATGTGGCCGAGGGAGACAGTGATGGTTTAGGGGTCGCTAAGCCATTAGGCCTGGGTGGTAGGTGGTGCCCCACGTGGGAGGCCTGGGAGTGTCCTCAGTGAGGGGAGGGGCATGGTGGGAGAGGCCTGGGCTGTGGAAATCCCCCATCTTGTCTTGGCCCTTTGCTTCCCAGGGTGAGCCTGAGGGGGTGTCACCTACCTGTGCCTCAGTTTCCCTGGCTGTGATGTGGAGTAGGCGGTGTGAGTAGCTGCTCTGAAGCATGTGGGGGTTTGAATGTGTAGCTCATCAGCATGAGCTATGGTCCCCGGCCACCCCTCCTGCGCAGCACTGAGATCCTCACAGCCTCCGCTCCTTCTGGGCCGGGCCTGGCTGATCTTGACTTGGCTCATGGTCTGGTAGGTTGGGCTGGCTGGCCCAGAAAGCCTTGGATGGCCTTATTTCCATGTCTAGGAGCTGGCTGTGCCTGAATCAGGTTGACACCATCCTCAGCAGGTACATCTAGGCTCCATCATGCAGAAACTGGCCCTGCATCCCCCTTGCCCTGTGAGTCAGTGGGGAACCCTTCTATCACGTCCACTGCCGCATGCCCAGTACTTAGAACACAGGAGGTACTCAGAACCACGTTCCCCAACTGATGGAAGACATGGCTGGGAGGGGTCATACGGAACACTGGATCCACACCCTGGCCTTGGCTTTGGCCACTGCTGGCTTTCAGAGGGAGACTGGAGGCGCTGGACCAGGAGGCAGGATAGGAGTCAGTTACAATGGCAAGGGCTTGAACTCCCATCAGGTGCCTCCCTAGGGGCCTGAAAGGAGCGGGAGGGCCCTGAGCAGAGTGAGCATGCTTGAGCTTGGATGAGCATGGTCCAGCCACCCTGCCCCACCTCCCTGCAGCTCATCTACATGCACTGGATGAACTCGGTGGTGAATTACTGCGGTCCCTTTGAGTATGAAGTCGACTACTGCGAGAGGCTCAAGCGGTTCCTGGAGGCCAACCTGGAGTGGATGCAGGAGGAGATGGAGTCGAACCGGGGCTCCATGTACTGGCACCAGGTGGGCCTGGGATTCCAGCTGCTGCCCAGGATCTGTCATTGTCTGTCCCTCCTGACCCTCCTGCCACTTGTCCATCTGTCCAATCTCCACCTGTCTGTTCTGCCTGCCACTCAGTGGAACTCCAGCTGTCCATCCCAGGCTACTTGTGTGGCCCACTGTGCCTTCCTCTTGTCAGAAGCATGTGGGTAATCATTAGCCTGCTACCTTCCTTGTCTGTGTGGGTGGCCTAGATTGGTGGATGGTGGTGAGTGCAGGTGAAAACAGCGTGGGAGCAAGGGGAAGAGGAAACCACGGGGAGACGCACGCTCCACTCCCTCTTCCTCTTCTTCCTTTTGTTCTCCTTTTCCAGTTTGGGTGCCATGGATTCTGTTCTCCTTCCCTTAGTTGAGCTGCTGATGGGCTGGTGGCTAACACAGTCCCAGCTGTGGGCTGGCCTATCAGACCGAAAGTCAGTCAGTTCTGGATTCCCACAGAACCTGAGGGGGTCTGGACAGGAGATCCCTGCACGTGGCTGTCTGTGCCCATCCACACAGCCGCCTAGTACAGGCCAGGTCTCCAACAGGTCCCTCACTGACCACCTGCCTTTCTCCCTACTTGCTTACTCACATTGTTGCTAGAATTAGCTCTTTTGTCCACTAATCTCTCCATCTACCCCTCTACTCATGCCTCTGTCCCTTAACTGTCCATCCATCCATCCATCCACCTACTCATCTATATATTCATCTTCTTCATCCATCTATCCATCTATCTCCTCGTCACCCACCCCTATTATTCATCCATCTTTTGTCTGTTCATTCATTCATCAGTTCTTATACTCACCCATCCAACCCTCTAACTCATCTCCATCTACTCCTCATCCATCCATCCATCCATCCTGCAGATACTAAGTGTATATCAGCATAGACCAAGGCCCTGTGAGGAATGTGGAGTGGTACTCCATGGTTACAGGATATAAAGACAAAACAGTGACAATGGGAAGAAGTCAGATGCGTGAGACAGTCACCAAGCTCCAATGGGGGCCATAGGCAGAGGGCCAGGACCAGCTAGGGGTTTCCTGGAGGAAGCAGCTATTGAACTGGGTCCCTAAGTGTGAGTGACTTGAGGTCAGCACAAGGTAAAGACATAGAGTGAATTCATTAATGGAATGGGGTGCCTGGCGGAGTGGGGGTGCAAGTTAAGAAGAGTCGGGGCTGGCTGGAGCCTCAAGGGCAATGTCTGGCTTCTCCTTCTCTGGCTGAGGCCCTGATCTCCCTGTGTCCCTGCTTAGGTGCAGCTGACCCTCCTGCAGCTGAAAGGCCTGGAGGACAGCTACGAAGGCCGTGTGTCCTTCCCAGTGGGCCGGTTCACCATCAAACCCTTGGGTTTCCTGTAAGTGGCCCCTTCCTCAGGGCGCACAGGGTGGGACATGGCCATGTGGCTCATGAGTCTGGCAGGCCAGGATTCCAGCCAGCTCTCTGCTGGTTAGCCACCCTGCCAGACCCTGGGCTGGGAAACACTTGAGTGACAGCTGGCACAACAACCATCGTGCACGCCTGTCCTCCTCAGCCTGCTGCAGATCTCAGGGGACCTGGAAGACCTGGAGCCAGCTCTGAACAAGACCAAGACCAAGGCTGTCCTGGGCTCGGGCTCCTGCTCCGCCCTCATCAAGCTGCTGCCTGGGCAGCAGGACCTGCTGGTCGCACACAACACCTGGAGCTCCTACCAGAACATGCTGCGCATCATCAAGAAGTACTGGTTCCAGTTCCGGGAGGACCCCCAAGGTAGGAGCATGAGGCTGCATCTGTGTCCATGAGCGTGTGGGCAGACACAGGGAGGGTGGGCCACAGGCAACACCCCTGCCCACTCCCAACACATGGGGGCTACTCTGTTTTTTTTTTTTTTTTTTAATTTATTTGAAAGGCAGAATGACAGAGGCAGAGGCAGAATTCTTTTATGCACTGATTCAATCCAATGTCCAGGGCTGGGTCAGGCCGAAGCCAGGAACCCAGGAACTCCATCCCTCTTGGATGCAGGCTTCCAAGCACTTGGACTCTATTCTGCCGCTTTCCCAGGCACATCAGCAGGGAGCTGGAGCACAAGCAGAGCAGCCCAGATTCAAACTTGTGCTTTAAAATGGGCTGCCAGCATCCCAAGTGGGGACTAGCGCACTGCACCACAACACTGCCCCCTCATCTGTTTTTACCATTTGTTTCCTTTTTTTTTTTTTTTTATCTTACAAGGTATATATTAGCTATTGCTGCATAACCAAGCACCCCAAATTTAAAGCAAGAGGTGTCTGTTTTTTGTCTTAGGTCTGCATCCACTGAGGGTTCTGTCACTCCTGAGGGGCTGCCTGATGAAGCTGCAGGCCTCAGGGGCCGGCTGGCTAGTCCAGGGTGGCCTCCTCCTCATTTCCAGGATTGGCCGTCAGCTGGGTGATGGGGATGCCTGAGGCCCTTGTTGATTTGACCTCCAGTGGCAGGTGATCTCAGGGTCATTCACGTGATACCTGGGTGAGGAAGAGCAGCCCAGCCCTTGAGGTCCTGGGTGAAACAGACTCAACCCGAAGCCAGCCAGGTGGGCAGCCCAGATCCCAGCGGTGAGAGGCAGACCTGCTGTGCAGTGGTAGGAGCCAGAGAGAGGCACGGTGCAAATGATGTGGACACGCAGGGAAGGTTACGGCCGGTTGTGCAAACCAGCCATACAAGCACCGTGTCGCTCCCCAGGAAGGTGGGAAAACTGCTCCCCATTGGCCCAGGCATCAGGGCCATTGTCAAGTGTGTGCCTCTTCCTGGCCCAGATAGAAGATGGAGGTGGTGAGAGAGCAGGAAGGGCATCCCCGTATCGATTGCTCACAGGAGTACAGGTTGGTGCAGGCAGTCCCTGGAGGAGACCCAGCTGGCAAGCAGTCCAACTCAAAATCGGTCACCACAAGGCCCCAGCGGCTCAGGGACTCGGACCTGACCCAGAGCGGCGTTCCCATTCCTGCACAGCACTGTGTTGGAAGGATGTCCACCACAGCAGCTGGGGACTTGGCCATTTCATGTCCGTTCTCAACTGCTAAAATTTATTTGGAACGCAGAGAAAGAGATTTTCCATTCTCTGGTTCAGTCCCCAAATGCCTACAACATCCAGGGCTGGGCTTGGAAGTGGGATCGGAAGTGGAGCATCCAGAACTTGAGCTGGCACCCTCATGGGATGCTGGCATTGCAGGTGGGGGCTTAATTCGCCACACCACAGCACCAACCCCTTTTCTTCTTAGGAAGCTTCATTCCCGCTGTGAGTCACCCCTGGGCATGATTTGTCTGTATCCAGCTTCTGTCCCTCAGATTCACCCCAAGAGCACCAGGGTCACACTTCTCTTCGTGTGGCTGGAGAATAGGAAGGTGTTTCCACAAGTTACTGGAAAATGGCATCAAAAGAGCAACTGAGGGGCTGGCCTCGTGATACAGCTGGTGGGGCCCCTGGTGACAATCCCTGGCTGCTCCACTTCCACTCCAGCGCCTTGCTAATGCAGCTGGGAAAGCAGCAGAAGATGGCCCAAGGCCTTGATCCCCATTAGGGGAGACACTGATGGAACTCCTGGCTTCAGCCTGGCCCAGCCCTGGCTTTTGTAGCGATTTGGTAAATGAGCCAACAGATGGACGATCTCTCTGTCTCTCTCTCCTTCTTTTCTTTGTCATGTTACCTTTCAAATAAAAAGCAAAAAAAAAAAAAAAATCTTTTTTTTAAAGATGTTTATTTTGGTGCAAAACATTTTGAAAATTATATATGCAAAATTATATATGGGCCTCCAGAAGTTTCCTGATAGATGGGTGTTATGAAAAAAAAGTTATGTATAAATTTCGAAGTGTTTTTGCACCAAAATAAACTTACCTAGTAATGCCATTTTCCAAGAACTTTGCAAGGCGCCCTCCTGTTCTACCATAGGGACCAGCAGCACGTGGTTCCCTCAATTGACGGGCACTTTGGTTATTTATTTCTACCTTTTGGCTCCTTCACTAATAATTAAAAACAATTAATTAATTTTTCGCTGGAGAAAGTTGGGAAATAAGGTAGATCACCAAGAAGGGACCAAAAACCCTGAAAGTGCACTCTGCCTCCCAATGCCCATCCCCACCTTGAGACGCCCTGTTGGCCTTGTCTCTTTCCCCATGCTTCGAGCCGAGCCGCGTGGGCTGATACCTGATACCGCCTGCCTGGAGGAGGTGCCCCGTCTCGATGAGGGCTGCTTGGGCTGTGTCCGCCATACACCGGCTGCTTCCTCTACCCTGCTCTTGTCCTGAAAGCTCGTGGCCCGGGAGCATGACAGAGCCTCATGCCGCGCTCTGTGTGAGCAGAAGGGACTGGCAGCCCAGTTTGCAGCTTGCTTCGGGCTGAGTAGCCTGGTCCAAGGTGCTCAGCAGGGAAGTGCCCGGGGAACGCGCTCAGAGCTCGTCCCCACAAAGCCACTGCTCCCACACTCCTGCGTGCTGCCTCAGCTGATCTTTCCGAGTGTGAGTCTTCCCTGTGGAAAACCAGGAAGCAGTCAGCGAAAGCCTGTGCCTGGAGTGTCCGCATGTGGAGCTATCTCAGCCATTCACAAAGGGGGAGAGTAGAAGCTGTGTAGAAAGTATGTGTGCGTTCACTTATACTCAGGAATAGAAATATGTTTATTTCCTACATATGTGTTTTGCTACTGCCTTTTTAAAAATTGCATATTTATTTGAAAGATAGTGAGAAATAGACAGGGAGATAGAAAGAGTGAATTTTCATCTGCTGGTTCACACCTGAATGCCCTCAAAAACTGGGGCTGGGCGGGACTGAGAGCAGGAGGCCAGAACTTCCTGTGGGTCTCCCATGTGGGTGGCTGGGGCCCAAGCGCTTGAGCTGTGCACCTGCTGCCTCCCAGGGTATGCGTTAGCAGGAACTAGGGGCAGAGGTGGAACTTGAACTCAGCTCCCAGACCCCTGTCCTGCTGATTTAGGGAAACACATCTTGGAGCTGTGGCTGGTTGAGTCTGGGGATGAGATTCCTGTGCAGCCCCCAGGACCTGCTGGGTTTTGAAAGCCTTGCTTGCCAAGTGTCAGAAGGGACAACGTGGCCCCTCTGAGACCTGCTTACTCTGCCTTGAGACCAACTGTGGTGGGGTGGGTGTGTGGGTGCCATCTGACTGGCACCCTAGGTTCACTGTCGCCCCACAGGGGACTCGCCCCTGGTGCCTGGCAACAGGGTGATCTTCTCGTCCTACCCCGGCACTATCTTCTCCAGTGATGACTTCTACATCCTGGGCAGCGGGCTGGTGAGTGACGTTCCTGTGCTGGCATCATCCCCTGGGACCCCGGGCCTGCATGATGTACCTGCTGCCGGGCACTGTGGGGCAGCCGGGCAGGCAGACGAAGCTGAGGTAGATGCAGCCCCCGGCCCCCATTGCCCACCCACCCGAGCTCGTTCCTCCTGCTGTGGTGCTTGTGTAAACTGCGCATTCCCAGGCCCCACTCGGGGCCCTGCAGCCAGCACCCAGCTGTGGGGCCCTGCAGCTGCTCAGGTCCTGGGCAGGCACCGCTTCGAGCCTTGACCTTGGGGGCCTCTTAGTCTTGTGTAGGGGAGGGAAACTGCTCTCTGTCCCTCCATCAACCCTCCCCTTTGCCCACCGCCCCCCGGGCCCTGTGCCCTCATTCCTTCTCCGCCTGCCTCCCCTCTGGCAAGCCCCTGTAACCTGGCCAAGGTTTCTGAATAGGTGTTTACAGTGTGTTGTTTGGATGGTTTCCTTGGCTGGGGCCCAGGTTCCTTTAGAAATCTGTTCCTGGCACCCCTCTCCGAGACAGCGAACCCTGCGCGCCATCACCAGGGCGACCATGCCGGGGGCGGGAAGCATCTCTGTCAACACCCTGCACCCAGCGCCCTGCGGTGGAGGCCGGCCCCCCCTCCTACTTTCCCGTCCCTGTTGTCTCAGCATGGACAGAGGTGTGAGAGGGCCAGGCTGGGAGTGAGGGAGCCCCTGGCTGCAGCCGCGGAGGCCCGATGGAAACCCCTCACCTGAACGGGAACTGGTCAGGCCCAGAACTACCCCATCCCGCTTTGCGTGTCTCATCTGGCGCTGGTGACCCTCAGGGGTTCTCAGACTCAAGTTATTTTTGTTGTGTTTTAAAAAGAGATACTTACTTATTTGAAAGGCAGAGTTATAGAGAAAGGAGGAGAGACAAAGGAAGAAAGATCTTCCTTCTGCTGGTTTACTCTTCAAATAGCCCCTATGGCCAGAGCTGGGCCTGTCTGAAGCCTAGAGTTTCTTCTGGGTCTGCTACATGAATGCAGAGGTTCAAGCACTTGGACCAGCTAATGTTGCTGTCCCAGGTGCATCAGCAGGGAGCTGGCTCAGAAGTAGAGCACCTGGGACTTGAACCAGTGAGCATATGGGATGATGGAGTCGTGGGTGGCAGCCTAATGCACCACACCATCACGCTGATCCTGTGTGTCAACCAGTAGATACAGATGATAAAGGAAACTAATTGTATTAAACATGGCTGTACGAGTAATATGTAAGTAAAATCCTACTTATGTATTTTTCAATTTTTATTAGAAAGAAAAAGAGAGAGATACAGACAGCAGATCTTCCATCTGCTGGTTCCCTTCCCAAATATCCAAAATAAAAGCCAGGCCAAAACTGGGGGCCTGGAACTGAACCCCAGTCTGTCATGTCCATGGTTAGGGACCTGCAGATTTGAGCCGTCATCTGTCACCTGCCACCCCTCTGGGTGCACGTTAGCAGGAAGCTGGATCAGAGGCGGAGCAGCTGGGACTGTGCACGGGCTGCCCCCAGCATCCCAGGCTGAGTGGCTGCCGCCCGAGTCGACTCTCCCAGTCACCCAGAGGTGCCTGCTGTGGCTAGAGCATCTAGTGTGACCCCAGCACTTTGTTCAGAGGCAGGCAGGCCTGGGAAGTGCTGGGCAATGCCAAGGGACCTTCTGGAAGGGCTCTGGGGGCACAGTGGGGAAGCTAGCTGCTGCTCACTGGGCACTGTTGTTTGAAAGCCTTGCTGTACACTTCTAAAACAAACGAATCACTTTCCAAATACTTCTTTTTTATATTTTTTTTAATTTGAGATGTATTTATCATTTGAAAGGCAGAGTAGCACATAGCGAGAGCCATTTTCCAGGCACTGGTTCACGGGCCCCTCCCCACCGCCCAACCAGTTGCAGCCAGGTGTTGGGAACTGGATCTGGGTGTCCCACGTGCATGCAAGGATCCCAGGTGGGCTGTCCCCCACTGCCTCTCAGGGTGCACATTCGTAGGAAGCTGGAGTTGGAAACCGGGCTGGGGCTTGAGCCCAGGCACCCCCGCATGGGATGAGAGTGCCCCGAGCTGCCCACTGCAGGCACTGCTGTGTGTTCATGGGGTTGACTGCACAAACGAGGAAGACCCACAGCAGGGCACGACGCTGGTTTCTAAGGGGGGTGTTGGCAATGGCATGTCAGTCCTGCCCCTTTCCAGCTGTGACCTGTCCAGTGCCCGAGCTGCTCGTGGCCTCAGTTTGCTTGGTAGTGAAAGGGAGATACTGTGGCCTGTGCCACGGGCATGTGGCAGGAGGCCTGGGTGAGCTCAGCACGGTGCTGCTGGGGAAACCTCCCCTAACTGCAGAGACCCACCTGGCCTCGGAGCTGCTGTTGGACCTCGAGCTCCATTTTGTGCCCTGAACACATCTTTGGAAGTGAGTCCAGTGACTCCGTGTTGGGTATAGGGGTGCAGTTTCCATCTCCCTGAAAAAACGTGTTAGCAGGGAACAGTGTGGAGGCATAGCACGCAAACCCCTCCATCTGTGGCACCAGCATCCCATATGGATGCCGGTTTGAGTCCCAGCTACTCCACTCCCCATCCAGCTCCCTACTTATGGCTTGGGAAAACAGCCGAGTACCTTTACACCCACATAGGAGACCTGGAAGAAGTTTCTGGCTCCTGGGTTGGGATCAGCCCAGCTTCAGCCATTATGACCATTTGGGGAGTGATTGGCAGATAAAAGATTTCTCTCTATGTGTATCTGTCTTTCTCTTTCTCTGAAACACTTTCAAGTAAAAATAAATAAATCTTTTAAAAATATGTATGTTAACAAAAAATGGGGGTACAGTCTGTGTTGTGGCATAGCACAGTAACCTGCTTGCAACACTAGTGTCCTGTCAAGGTGACTCTGTTCCTCTTCGTGTCCAGCTGCCTTGGAAGGCAGCAGAGGAGGCCCAGGTGCTGAGGCCCCTGAGCCCAGATGGGGGCTGGAAAGGGATCTGGGCTTCTGCCTTCAGCCTGGCCCGGCCCTGGCAGTGCAGCTCTGGGTGGATATACACACACACACACTCTCTCTCTCTCTCTCTCTCTCTGCCCCTCTCCCTGTATCTCTCCCTTTCTCTCTGGCATGCTCTCTTTAAAAAAAAAAAATAGTAAGGAAGAATGTGTCAGCATTTTGAAGGCCCAGAGGTGAGGGGCACAGTGCAGGGTGTTCCTTAGGTGAGTTTGGTTTTGCTTGCGAAGGGAAGCAGGAACCGTGTAGAGAGCTGTCGGGGGGTTAGGGGCATGGCCTAGGTCCCGCCCCTGGGGAAAGGTCTCCACAGCCTCCGACCTTGAGATCTCTAGGCTAGGTCAGCTTTAGGCTGGGGTGGGAGTGAAGGACCTAGTGGGAAGACAGGGCCGTGGGTGTGGCACTCTGGGTCCCCTTAGAGGCTGCTGTCGGGGCAGAGCTGGGCACAGGGTTCCTCCGTGTTTCCCTTTGGGTCCCAGGGAGGAAGAGGTACCTGAGCCTGAAGCCAGCTCCCGATCCAAGTTTTGTAAATGACTGTTGAATAACCAGTGAATGATCCCTGGGTGGTGGGGCGTGGCTGCCAAGCAGGGTCTCGGCCTGACAACCCTCGCCAGGCCCCCTTGCAGCGTCCCCCGGCCATCCTCCAGGTCACGCTGGAGACCACCATCGGCAACAAGAACCCCGCCCTGTGGAAGTACGTGCGGCCTGAGGGCTGTGTGCTGGAGTGGGTGCGCAATGTTGTGGCCAACCGCCTGGCCCTGGACGGGGCCAGCTGGACGGACATCTTCAAGAAGTTCAACAGTGGCACGTGAGTGGCCCTGCCCGAGAGCCAGAATGGCCTCCGTGTACCCAGACCCTGGGGTGTCCACACCATGTGTGCTGAAACCACCCGTCCCCTCCTCCACGCAGTGTGAGAGTGTCCAAGAGACCCTGCCCCCATTTGATGAGTGGGGAAACTGAGGCTCAGGGGAAGGGCGGGATCCCTCCCCTCCGGGCTCCCCGACACCGGGGAGGGACCTCTTGGAGGTAGGGCGGGTGGAGAGCTGGGGCTAGGGACTCATGTGCATTGAGCGGGCTGTCTCAGAAAGAGGACGTGGGTGGGTAACAGGGCCTGTGAACCAGAAAGAGGTCAGCTAGCAGGGGAGCTATTCTTGTACTGACGGATGCTAGGGAGCTGTGGACTGTGCTGGAACAGGCAGGCAGGGCCTTAGGGACAGCTGGTCTCACTGTGTCGTCAGGCACCTGCTGCTAGAACTTCCTGGCCAGGTGGGCTCTGGGGCTGGGGGAGGCTGGGGTAGCATCCTGGGCCCTGCACATCTCCCTTCTCGCGCGTGTCAGGTACAACAACCAGTGGATGATTGTGGACTACAAGGCATTCAGCCCTGGCTCGCCCGGCCCCGGGAGCAAGGTGCTCACCATCCTGGAGCAGATCCCGTGAGTGCACTGGGAGTAGGCCGGGCGCTCCGGGCGGAGGGGATGGCCTGAGCAAAGGCTCGGGGCATGCAGGGGCTGTGTGGCCAGGCACAAGCTAAGGTAGGTGGGGCTGGACAGGGAGACAGTCCTTGGTGGGGAGGGGCTTGAGGGGGACTCTGTCCCCCTCAGCAGTGGGGACGCACAGAGGCCCCGTTTCTGACCATGTCCACCCCTTGTGCCGGTTGCAGGGGCATGGTGGTGGTGGCTGACAAGACCACGGAGCTCTACCAGAAGTCCTATTGGGCCAGCTATAATATCCCGTACGTGCCCTCTCTTGCCCCTGCCCGCCCCCTGGCATCTTCCTCCCCTGGGAGTAGGGTCCCTCCTTTTGTGTCATGGTTGTTTGGCTTAACTCTGCCCCCATAGCACCTCCTAGCCATGGCTCTTACGCAGGGCGCTGCTGGGTGGCCAGGCACAGGGACCAACCCCTGCTGGGTTCTGGCATCCGATTCTCATACCTGGGAACTGAGGTCCTGGCTCCCATTTCACAGATGGGAATTCGGAGGCCCTGGGAGCATGCCTGACTTTCCTAAGGCTCTGCAGCTGATCACTCGGGAAGCCAAGGCTTGAACCCACATCTGATGGACCCTAGAGCCAAGCTTGGCTACCCCCCCACCCAAACCACCAGGGAAGGCCAGTCCCCACTGCCCAGCTGTGACAATGTTAGGTGTGATCTCGTGTGGCTGCCCTCCCCGCTCCCTGGCTGTGGCTGTGGCCAGGTGAGGCCAGCGGAGGTCGCGGCTGACTGTTTTGTCCTGGCAGATCCTTTGAGAGCGTGTTCAATGCCAGCGGGCTGCAGGCACTGGTTGCCCGGTACGGGGACTGGTTCTCCTACAGCAAGAGCCCCCGGGCCCAGATCTTCCAGCGCAACCAGTCATTGGTGCACGACCTGGACTCCATGGTGCGGCTGATGAGGTGGGCACCCATCAGGCAGGGGTGGCTGTGGCTGTGTCCTGGGCCCGTGGGGGTGCTCACAGTGTGGAAGAGGGGCTGGCAAAGGGCCCATCACTGTCCTGGGTGACAGGCGAGGTTGCCAAGTCTTGGGGGATGTGCTAGGAGCTGGGCTCAGTGCTAGGGCAGCTGGCAGGATGGCTCTCCCCATCCCTGGGGAATACCCATAAATTTAAGTGCCTGCCCTGATGTGGGGGTGTCACCCTGGTCACTGGAGAAACACTACCAGGGGACAACCAGGTGCCTCTGTCAGCTCAGGGAGGGGGCTTGGAGGCCGACCCCAAGGAGGGGGCCCAGGCCTGGCGTGAACAGGGAGCGCGCAGTGGCTCAGGGTGCACCAGCTGGGCCAGATGGAGGGCACAGGTAGGGCCAGCCCCTCCATGCCTCCTCCTTCCCAGTGTCACAGCTATGGCTGCCCTTCTCCGACCAGGTATAATGACTACCTCCACGACCCCCTGTCCTGGTGTGACGCCTGTGTCCCCCAGCCCAACGGTGAGAATGCCATCTCGGCCCGCTCAGACCTCAACCCTGCCAACGGCTCCTACCCTTTCCAGGCCCTGCGGCAGCGCGCCCATGGAGGCATCGACATAAAGGTGCCGCCCCACCCTGGGGGTGCTGTGGGTGGGACAGGGAGCGGGGAGGCGGAAGGCCAGGTCCAAGCAGCCGACTGGTCAGGAGTCTGGGTCAGTAGTTGGCTATGGTTGGGGTCAAGGTTAAGGTGATGTCTGGGTCGGGATTGGAGCCAGCATTGTTCTCTGGGGCCCACAACGGGGTCAGAGTCCAGGTCGTGGCTCAGTGGCCTGCTCCGCCCTATCCCTCAGGTGACCAGCATGTCACTGGCCAAGGCTCTGAGCTTGCTGGCAGCCAGTGGCCCCACGTGGGACCAGGTGCCCCCGTTCCAGTGGAGCACCTCGCCCTTCCATGACAAGCTGCACATGGGCCACCCAGACCTCTGGAAGTTCCTGCCCATCAAAGTCCTGTGGGACTGAGGCCCCAGTGCCCCCAACCTCCTGTTAGGAGCCATTCTCTGCCATACTCGCTCCCGATGGGGGTCTCAGATGGCTGGACTGGCCTCTTTGTCAGAGTGGTCTCCTCCCAGGAGGGACACAGGACTGCTGGCTGCAGAAGTGGCTCACCGACTCCCTCGCTGCCTCTCTGCCTCCCACCTCTGGGACCCCAACTTCCTGCTGCTGCTCGCTCCCAAGGGGGAGGCCGGGTCCTGAAGGCACCTGTGTTATCCCAGGGATGAGCTGATGAGGTCTCTGTCCCTGGCCTGGCTCCCGGCCTCGGGGTGGCATTGCCAGCTGCCATGGCTCCTTTGGGGCCCCTGTGACTCAGTGATACGCTCACCTCCTTTTCTTGGCAGTTTCCTTGAGCACGGAAACTTGAAAGTAACCGAAAACCAAAGCTCCTGGCCCCTCATGGCTGGAGGGTCCCGTGTGCCCACTGCACTCCAGGGCAGGCAGGAATGGCAGCCCTGCTGCTGCCCCCGCCCCTCCCCAGCCTGGACCTGCCCCGGCCTGAGCGCAGGGCCCACACTTCCCCCGGATGTGGAACCAAGCACAGGCTGTGCTGCATTAAACCGGAGAGGCCGAGACTGTGTTGGGCTTCTTGGGCAGCAGGGAAGGCTGGGCGCGCCTCTTTCTTGGGTGAGACCATCCTGTCCGGTCAGCTGTCCTGCTGTCCATTCACTTGTCTGCCAGCCCCACGCATTGTCTGGACAGCTGTCTGGTCACCTCGCCCTGCGTCTCCATCAATTCCTCCAGCAAGCCACCTCTCTCCTCGCTCACACCTGTCTGCTTATTGATCAGCCAGCCACGTGACTGTCTGTTTACCCACCATCCACCTGTCATCTCTCCATCCATCACCCATCTGTTATCCATCCATCATCCATCAATCATTATCCATCCTTCCATCCATATGTCATCCATCTTCCCATCGCCTCTCCACCCACCAGTCCAGCCAGTCCTCTAGATGCTTCTGGAGCATCTGTTAGGCTCTAGATTCATGTCTAGGCCCCACCCAGCACCAAGACCCCCCCCCCAAGTTCTTCCATGGCGTACACACCAGTGCGAAGCAGGCTCCCCTGTCTGATCTCACACAGTGCCTGCCTTGGAGAAAGTCTCTGCAGTGCTGCTGTGCTCTGGTTCCTCGGTGTTAGATCCTTGGTCATCTCGTGTGTAAAATGGGTTGGTGCTGTGAGCACTGCCTTGGTGGCCATGGCACAGCCCACATGGGGCCTCGCTGTGCCCTCACTTGCCATTAGCAGATGCGCAGGGAGGGGCTGGGGGTACCTTGTGGCGGAAGAGGAAGACCCTACTCTTTGGAAGTCCACAGGGGAGCGCCCCTGAGCAGAGTGACCCCAGGGAGAGGCTGGCCGAGCTGCCTGCAGGCTGCACAGTCCCCTCACTTGGCCAGTGACAGCTTGTGGGTTTCATCTGTATTAACTTCTTATTTTAAAGGCACAGAGGTGGGTAAGATTTTTGTCTGCTGCTTCGCTCCCCAAATGTCTGCACAGGCAGGACTGGCACAGGGGGCAGGGACCTAAATATTGGAGCCGTCACCGCTGCCTCCCGGGGTACTCATCCGCAGGAAGTGGAGCTGGGAGCAGTACGAGGTGGTGATGTCACGGGCAGCATCTTACCCACCTGCCAGCCCAGCAGCTGAGAGCCCTGTGCTGTGCTGCAGGCTGGGTTCCCCTGTGTGGTCTGAATGTGAGGATGCAGGCTTAGGACGAGAGGGGGTACACTCCGCAGAGCCTTATCCCCTAGGAAAAATGCTGGGACCAGAAGTACCAGTTTGATTTCCTGTCTCCAGGTTCATAAAGTACATGGAGGGTGGGCATTGTGCTGCAAACCCATGGAGGAAGCCTGCGTTCCCTGTGGGAGTGCTGCTGAGTCCCAGCTGCTCCACTTCCTATCCAGCTCCCTGCTAGTGCACCTGAGAGGCAGTGGAAGATGGCCCCCGTGCTGAGATCCCCACTACCCATGTGAGACACCTGGGAGGAGCTCCTGGCTCCTGGTTTCAGCCTGCCCCGGCCCTGCCTATTTGGGGAGTGGACCAGCAGATGGAAGATCTTTTCTCTGTCACTCTGCCTCTCAAATAAGTAAATAACAACAAGAAAACAAAGTGCGCAGCTGTGCTGGTTGGAAGGTGGGCTTCAGGCGGGTCCCCTGCCCCCCGGCTGGACGTCCTGTACGTCGGGGCAGCGGCTGGCAGTGTGGCACAGAGCTGAGTGATTCTTGCACTACACTTTGAACTCTGCCCTATAGGCTGCTGTAGGTGGCCAGGGGACTTGCTGACAGGGTAAAGGGGCTCTCCCACCCCGCCCTGAGTCAGCCCCTCTCCCACCCCGCCCTGAGTCAGCCCCCCACTGTTCTTTGTGGTTTTCTGGTGTGAAACTTGAGCAGGAAGAGAGGGTGTCAGGTCTCAAAACAGAGCCGCAGGACAGCATTGGGGTCAAGTGCACTCCCTCCACGCAGGCGTGTTCTGGGCCAGCTTACACACCCTGTGCTGGGATCCGACGTCTGTGCCCTGCTGGCTCTGTCCTCAGCACCCTCCCTCCCCCTGCTTCCTGAGATACAGGGACACCCCTCCCCCCCCATGTTGGGGCACCAGGGTTCCCAGGGTGGGGGTGGGGAGAGCTGAGAGCAGGCAGTGCGATACAAAAACACAGAAGCCCTTTGCTTCATAAATACACATTTTCTCTTATCAGTGAAAAAGTCGGCAAATTAGAAAAACAAGTGCCCAGGAGTGGGAGGAGGGCACACTGCCCTTGGAGGCAGGCCAAGCTGTTCCACCTGGGACTGGTTCAAGGTCACACTTTGTTCGTCCTGCTATGTCGCTGCCCCCCACTCTAGGGTCCCGGAGTGCTCCTTGAAGGGCGGCTGTCACCCTACCAGGGGAGACCACAGAGTCGCAAGGGGCTCAGGTCACACCTGGGCTCGGACACAGCGGACTCCTGGTGCACAGTCCACCTGCTGCCCAGGCCCGGGCGCGGGACTGAGCTCAAGAAGAATATGTACAACAAAGCTCTGTGCGCGACGCCGCCGCCTCCGCGGGCTCGGGGGGCGGGGTGGGCTCCGGAGGCACGCCTGGGAAGCAGTCCTCACTCTGGCAGCTCGCTCTTCATGCCCAGCTGGGCCTTGAGGGCCTGCAGCTGGGCCAGGCTGATGTTGCTGCCTCCACAGACGACCACCACGAGGGAGGCTAGCGGGGTCTGCAGCTTGCCCTGGGCCTGCAGCTTCTTCACCACGTGGCTGTAGACGGCAGCCAGGGCGGCCCCACAGGCCGGCTCCACCAGGATCTTCTCGTCATCTGTAGAGAAGGGGTGTGCTGAGGGTGTGCCACGCCACTGGCAGAGCTGGGGCTCAGGGAGCCAATCGGCTCGCAGCCTGGCCCCGGGCTGGTACCACTCCAGAACTGCCAATCCTCACTCTGGACTGGGCTCTTCCCACCTAAACCGAGGGCCTGGGGCTCATCCCGAGGGCTAACCTGGACAGGCTGTGTGTTGAGAGGGCCAAGTTAGCTGCTCCTCCCGCCCCACCCCTCCCCCACTAGCCCTGTCCTAGCCTGAATCCAGAAACAGTCTGACCTAGTTACAGACTCAGCTCCGAGCCACATGCTTTCCTTTTTCACTGTGGCCGCCAGGAAGCTCAGAGTCAACATTTTCACACTCAATTATTGTTCCCCGCTGTCATGGTCACAAGGCCCGCTCTTTCCTCTCTGGCTTTGTCTTTTCTATTTTTTTTTTTTCTTTCTTTTTTTCTATACTGCACTGTCTTCTGTTAATGGGATGTTCTGAGTCAGGAAGTGGGGACAGGACTGGGAAGTGAGTTTGGAATAAATGGAGTCCCTAGGTACCCCGTGGGGACAGCCACTGTGTTCTTGCCTGGGCACGTACCCACAAACTTCTCAATGGCAGCCACCGCTTCCTGGTCCGTGATGACCTCGGAGAAGATGGGGTGCTCCCAGGAGAGCTTCAGGGCCTGAGCCCCCACCATTTTCACCCCCAGGGCCTTGGCAACACTGGGAGAAGTGAGGCCAGAGACTCAGACAGGCAAGACAGTGGGAAGGCAGAGGGAGGGCGGGGCCTGCGCTGGGCGGGGCCTGAGCTGCTCTGTCACTGCAGTGGCCGCTGCTTGGGGGATCCTTGCTGGGCCCTGTTGGGGCTCCAGGCAACAGTTTCCTGTTGCTCTACCCATCCCTTCGCGCTCAGAGTGGCTGGCAGCCGCCTCCTCCAGGAAGTCCTCCAGGAGGACTGCTCAGCCCCTGGGCCCTGCATGGAAACTCCCAAACAGCGTCTGCCCCGACCTCCCTGTAATACCAAGCACAGTGAGGACCGCCTGAGAATATGTGAAGCATCAAATGTTCACCACAGCCTCGGCTGTTCCGATACAAGGGGAAACTGAGGCCCAGGGCAGGCAGTCACCTGCCCCAGGTCTCCTGCCAGGGGTGGGCAGGATGCCTGATGCTGCACACATGGTCCCCTGGAGTGAAGATGTTTCCCAGCCTCCCTTGCTGCTAGGTGTGGTCACATGACCAAGTTATGGCCAATAGGAAGTAAGTGGAAGTACTGTGTCTTCCAAGATGGAGCTGAGCCTTCTGTCTTTGCCTCCTTCTTCCTGCCACAGATGGACAGTAGATGGTTGGTACCCAGGCAACCATTTTGCACTATAAGGCCACATGCTAAAGATGGTGAGGCAACAAACTCAAGGACCCTTGGCTTCACAGAGTTGGCCCGAATGACCCAAGCTTTAGGTTTGTTTTATGGACGCAGGAAAGTTCAATCTTTCCTGGGAATCCTAGCAAGAGTCTGGAGCTTGGCTGTAAAGTCCTGGGGGCCAGGACTCCCTCAAAGACCTGCTGGTATATTGCATGCTTAGGGGTAAACTCCTGGGGTGTGAGGACCACTGCCCCAATGCCCCCAGAAATGAGCCATGGTGGAGCTTCTGCAGGAGGAAGCTGCCAACGTTGGCCCAGCCCTGCCCTCCCTAGCTGTATGACTCGGGCACTAAAGCCTCGAGTTTCTCATCCATAAAATGGGGCTGGCATCTTGGTCTCCCTCCTGGCCAGCAGAGTGGACTCCCTGACCCCAGCTGCTTACCTGGTGATCTCCGGCAGGGAGACAAGCCGGCCCGCTGACGTGGCGGCATGGAAGCTGTGGGCCCCGCTGGTCTCCATGGCGATGATGGGCACATCACCCCAGCCCACCTCCTGCAGGCCTCGGACCACTCCGCACAGCAGGCCCCCGCCTCCCACCGACAGAGCGATGGCCCCGGGCTTGGCCCCCAGAGTCTCCTTCAGCTCCTTCACGAGGGAGGCGTGGCCTTCCCTGGAGGGCAGGAGGAGGAAGGGGCCAGGTCAGGGGCAGCACTCCCTGGGGGTGCCAGCTTAGGGCAGCTGCCTCTGACAGCTCAGATGACTGCCCCTAAGGGCAACCCCGAGCCAGAGGCTGTAAAGCTGGATGAAAATCTCTCCCAACTCCCTCCCGTGAGGGTAGAAACTGCGGTGTGCGTTTGTGTGTGTGTGTGTGTGTGTGCACGCGTGCGCCTGCTGGGGTGTGCATCTTCCCATGTGTACATGTGGGGCTGTA